CGTGTTGGACTTCGTTGCTCACGCGCTCAGAAGGGGCTGCGGCTTGTGCGTCATGATTTCGCGAGGCTGCATGGGGACACCCGTTCGCGGCGACAGTGAGTGCAGATGTGGGCGCTCCTTGTGTTCTGTAACTGGAACAGGCTGTGTAGAGGCATAAGGAGACGAGTTCTTTGGCCGTTGTCCAAGAGGGCGGAGATGGCCCCAAGCGTAACTTTCTGGCGGTTCTCGAGGTTCACCCCCTTTTCTCGCACGATAAATGTTGACCGCGTGCACGCTGTATGGGTGCTCAAGTACGATGATACGATGATTTTAGCTTACATCCTAGGATTCGTTCGAGCAGAAACTCTTAATCGTTGCTCAGCCCTCGGTAGGACCGTTGAGCAAACATGGACGAAATATTTTTTGTCCGCCACAGGCTTGCACCCAAGTCTTCTGAAGGAGCATACCGTACACGACACAAGATAAAACACCCCCTGGACCGATTTTCAAATCTCGATTTCTCAACGGCAGAAAGAGTCACAGCGCCGAAAACGGCGGCCTTGAAGCCGTCTGGTCGAGAGCTTTCCGAAAACGTATCGTTTCGTTCATGCATCCTCTTCGTCGTGGAGTAATCGTGCTTTGAAAAAAATCGGTCCCGGGGGTGTACTATCTTGTGTCGTATACGGTAGTCTGAAGGGCCAAGGGAGTGACGCTCCCGACCGCAATCGGCCCCGGTTTGCGTTTCATCGCCTTGTTTCTTTTCTGCATGAGTCTGGCAGACGACTGGCGGTTCTTCGTCGATCCCCTCTTCGCTTGGATCAATGCCCGACCCTGCCTCCACCCTCTTTGACAACCATGCGACAGACTTTTTCCACGGGGCCAGAATCTCAGACGTGAGGTCGACCGTGACGGCCCTTCGCCGGTCGCTCCCGGAGCACACGCCCCTGGTCATGGTTGGCTACTCCATGGGCGGCATCATTGCCACGAACTACGCCGCTTTGACCGGCGAGAACAGCGGTGTTAGCTGCTGCGTGTCCATGTCTGGGAGCTTCGATACGAGGTGGGGGTGCACTGACGGTGATTGGTCGGGGGCCGTGGTTTCCTTTACCTTGGAGTGAAAGGCGCCCTTGGGTCGTACTTTAATATTTTAGGTACAAGTATTCCGCATTGAGTTAAGACAGCACGCCTTTTTCCTTATTTTGTCGAGCCGAGTAGTGCTGAGTGTGTTCGGTTTTCGGCCAGAGCGCGGACCTCACTCGTACCAAACCAATGCCAAAGCGATGGTGCAAGATCACGCTAAGCAGCGAACGTTTGGCGACAACCTGCGGCGTAGAGCGTGCGACGGCAGGGGTCATCCGGTCAGAAGTCTATTGACTGCCTGATTTCCCGCCCTTTCTACCACTTGGGAACGAACTAGTTTTTTGAACCGCGTCCTCTAGGCGATCTCTGCCTGCTTCTTGAAGTAGCCCTTGCGGACGATTTCTAAACATCCTCGATCTGGGTAGTTGTAGCAACCTGTGACTAGCGGGTGATCGGGAAAATACCAGCCTTTGCTCTTACTGCCCTGCACCAATTCTCGTCCATAACGCTTCCCCGTTTCTGATCTGTGCTACACTGCAGAACGAACATCGAGTCGAGACACAGCCAGCAGGTATGGCAACCGTTGCTGGCGATGGCTCTGAAAGAGCACTTCGTCCTCAGCAACACGCGGGAAATTGTAAAAAGGTGCGTTGAAGGATCGGCTTTGTTCGGTCTGAGAGGAATCGGGGTCCCTTTCCGGATGACCTCCCACGATTGGACGAGGTTGAAGGGCGGAACGTGTAAGGCTATCTAGGGGAACAGCTGGTCTGGGGGTGGGATGATTGGCCAATGATTCGTCGTCCACGGAAACCTTCGTGGCATACGATCCCCTCGATCTCCGCCCGCCATCCCCGCTCCATCCCTCTTGCGTTTGTGGGGCTGCGAGATGTCCACATCGCCATGTTCGTCAACACAACAATATCTCTGGGGCGGGGCACACATGAACGGCCCACGGTTCTCGGTGCCGGAAAGCGCCGGATACTTTGCCGAGAGCTGCCTGTCGTTCTAGCCTACCCTCTGACTTGCTCAGGAAATGGAGGAGGTTCCCATATATGTCGATTCTTGGGCTCACAAAGCAAAGTTGTCTGTTGGCCGTGGGCGGCCAACACATTTTTTCATGTGTCTCATTTCGAAACAAATTTGACGCTCGTATCGCCCAATCCCCGTTACCCGGAACCCCCCAATGCATGCAGGGGTCTGAATGTTTCAGCAATCGAGGCTTGCAAGAACGTTCTGGACATCGACACGCATCTGGTCGCGCCTTACAACGGATACCCTGTGAGTGGTACAGCCGAACCCTGCCTCGTTTCTGGGCTTCGACGGGGGCAACGAAATGGGCATGTCTTCACTCCATGCCAACCCTAACGCAAGAGGAAGGAGGGCAACTATGTGACTGACGCTTAGCTGTCAACGGCGTGCACGCGAACGCCTGTCGCACAGGAGGCTGAGTCACTTGTACTATTCAATATTTTTGTCCACAAGGGTCGTCTCCACACCAGCTGGGCTCTTGGGCTTGCCCAACTTTGGTGCTCTCGCGTTTTAAATTATGTGCACCGTCGTTTCTTTTCGTTTTGTTGAACTCGCTCGAGTATAGTCTGATTTTGGTTGTCCATGCACGTGTTGACCCTTGGCCAGAGGTTGTTCGGAACCAACTCCTTTATTATCCACACTACGACAGCAGCAACTTTGTTCTCCTTTTTTTCGTCGTTTTTCGAAGACATGTCTCAGGCGTAGTCTCACTTGGTCGCTTTTGTGATTCTCTCTCTTTTTTTCGATTATTTCCGACACCGACACCTCAGGATGTAATGGCGTACTACGCCGATATGAGCGCCGCAGCAGGTGACAAGATCGCAGGTCTAAGGACGCCGACGCTGGCGGTAACATCGCTTGATGATCCCATCATGACAGCGGACGGGTCGCCGGTTGCCGAGATCGACACCATCAATAACCTGTTCATCTTGCTCACACGGTGTGTGTTATTTTGCTTTCTTGATGCGTGGAGGAATGTTCTTTGCTGGAGGTTGAGAGACATCTCAACATTAGCAGCAATAAGAGGAGACACAGAACGAGAAACGACGGCGATGTATGCAGGCAGAGAGTAACAGGGAGATGGATCGGCACTAGATTGTTTGAACCACTGCTCGTTGGGACAATTTTTCGCGCGTGACCAGCGCACCTGTCCAGCATTTCATCATTTTATGACACACCCTTTTCTACCCCGTAAGGACCTGGTCCGGTGAGAACCCGGCGTGCTCCGTCCCGGCTTTTGCAGGGATTCGAGGTCAATGGTGTAACGACTACGGCATGCACGACTATGAGTACACCCCCGCCCCAATGCAGCACCTGGAAAGCCTTTTCAACCATGCTGTGAAGACACCAAGACATGAAGCCACCAAGACATTTTTGCCCTCCGTGCTTGCGTATGATGCCCGCTTTCCGCCATGCAGGAACGGGGGCCACGTGGGGTGGCCGACAGGTTGGAATCCAAACCGGAACAGATGGGGTTGGATGAGCACAACGTCCCTAGACTTCTGCGAAGCGGTCGTGGCCACCGCCGGCTTATGACCGGCACGTTTTTTGGGGCGTCGAAGAAAACCTTTTGACGACTACGGTCTCCCTTTCCAAGAGGACCAGGCGCGATCGAGAGGTGGTTGCACGAGTCGGGCTGAATTTCACCACGCCGAGACAATAGTGCTGTTCGTCGGTAGGGTCCTCGGAACCTACGGTTGTTTTCGTTTGTGGTAGCGGGTCGGGCGCGTGTAACGGGTGTGTGTGCGGGGGCACGCAATGCCTATGCCACTGGGGGGGGGCGCCGCGCTTCTCCTCGTCGAAACGTTCAGGCCCGACGTCATTCGGCATTTTGCTTCGGCCTAGAAGTAGAGCACGTCCGAGTACGGCGGTCTTGAAACAAGCCGCCGTTGTTTTTAAGAAAGTCAGCCGAAGGGGGGGGAACCTTGTACAGTACGGCGCGAAAAGAAACAGAGCTGAATCTCCATTGCTCTATTCGAGCATTCTTGCCAATGCTCTTGGGTGTTTCGTGTCTATCTTATTGCCGTGCTGTACAAGGACATCTTTGGATGTCGGTGTGGTGTATGGAACTTTTTGGTACGAAGACCAATCTTTTTGTTGGGTGCTTCATCTTCCGGCGCATGTTCGGATGCGTAGAGCCCGGCCAGTACACGTGGCCCGAGGAAATGTGAATCAACCTTTGAACATGTCTTCGCGTTCCTCCGTCGTGTCATCGATTGCGTTGTCCTTGCTTCGATGTATGGTCGGCGGGTCATTTTAGTGCCAATCCCGCAGAAAATGTGATGGACTGCTTTCCCTTTTCTTTCGCAAGGATCAACGTGTCAGTATTCTACGTCTACCTTGCAACGAAGAAGGCGTCCCCCCCCCTAGGCCGCAAAACTCTATCAAGAGACAGATAGGTGCGACGAAAATACGACGTCTCGTACCCTCATTACGCACACACCAACTCCTGACGTGCAACGTGAAGCTGCGATATGTCCGATTGATCCAGCTTTGAACTGGCTGCATGCCGGAGGATGGAGGGAAATGTTTGTGCCCCGAGACCTGGAAGTGCGAGGGGTAGAGAGGCCGGGATATGTATGCCAAACGTTGACATGTCAAGATTGTCCTTGCTCGACTGTGTTAGCCTTTGATGATATCGAGGGCCATCTGGCCACCTGCGCGCCATACAGTTTGGCTTCGACGGGTGCAACCCTGTAGTAAATGACGCCCATTTTCCAAATGGTATGCTGAAGCAGCTGCGAGACATTCTGAAGGATATGCTTCAGGTCTAAGTCCCTAAAATATAGACTGCCTTCCTTGCCACATCATCAGCGTTCCGATAACCGTCCTTATTTTCCAACCGACTCTCGTAGTATTACATGTACAGTGCCCATGGGACTCCTCCACCGACAGAAAGTTACACCCAACACGCAATCAACATAATTTCTTTAATTCGTAAGTTGGCGTCCACGCGTGAGAAAATCGAACACCATCTCGAAATTTCGGTAACGCCCCAAACACCCTTTTATTTGCCAAGGCCCAAGCGGGTGAGTGAAAGGAGGATTTACATATATCGACAATTGCGTTGAAAACCGTTCAACTATTGCACCGCAGAAAGCACCGTGATATCGCCCAGCTACATTTGGTACAACCGATACCCTATCACCGTTCGACGGACCATAGCCTCGGAACAGAGGAAAACAGCGAAGAACTACCGAGGGCAATCAAGACAACAAATACATCTATGCATACACAAAATATCACAAAATAAATAACTCTCTTGAGGGAAGTTGAAATCTGTACGTAACTTTCACTGTTGCGTGTAGCAACGGACGTAATCAGTTCAAGTTCTCCACTAAAACGACCAGCGACAGCACCCGGAACAGAAGAAACTTAAAAAACACAACCTTCGGTATAAATTACAGCATCACAGTATCACTACGGGACGGAAAAAATACACACACACGTCGACGATGGTAAAAAAAGACACATACAGCATCACTTCATTCATGGATTGCCCGCCTCGCGCTAACCTAACCCATCACAAACACTTGTTGCGCCGTGCTTTGTGGGCAAGCAACACTGACCTTGCGACTGAATGTCGAACCAGGAGCCAATTACTTCCACTTTGTGTGTGGGTTACCAGTTTCCCATAGACCAATACCAAATCCTTTCCGAGTACTTCTCCCTCCGTCCACTCTCCACTACAAACAAATGTTAACCCTCCAACACCTGTGGCGAACGCCAAACCAGAATCGGGATTCTCAGGAGATACATAGGAACATGGCAGAGCGGGGCGATCCGCCACCTTCGGTAGGAGTTCCACAGAGCTTCGGGAGGAGCCCCGCTAACCTGCTTGGCCCGCTTCCCCCGAGAAGGCCCTGCCTAGCATCATCTCATGGGTAAGGTTTCCTTGACGTGACGAAACGTAGGGCGATCCTGGGGCTGCTGAGCCCAGCAGAGCTTCAGGATGTCTTCGATGTCAGGAGGGGTGCCAGTGGGAATTGCCGGGCGCTCCCCCAAGGTGGCCACTTTGAAGCAAATCGCGGGATTGCCAGCTAGCCCCGACCAAGGAATTTCTCGGGAAAGGACCTCCCATATCACCACTCCGAAGCTGTACATGTCGCTCGCGTAGGAAGCACACTCGCCGTAGAAAATCTGCACGAGACAAAGGCAGGCGCAGAGTAGGGGGGGGGGGTATTCAGTGCCTGTTGCACGGTAACTGACACGAACTTGTGAGGACGGTAGGAGGAGCGGGTCAGGCAGGTATGCCTACAGTCGATATATTTGTCTCTCGTGGGATGTCAACGGCAGCGTGTTCGGTCTTGCGCAAAGCGTTCTTGACACACAGCACGATGCCCCTGCGAACAAACACTTTTCTCTGTGGGAAGTTGTTGGTGCGAATGCCCTGCATCATTCCTCAAGCACGGAATAATCGATGCAGGTCCCACGAGCAAGGACCTTACCTCTGGTGCGGTCCATTGCAACGTCATCGTCGAAGAGCCGTTTCCCGCGGTACGCGTGACCAGGCACGTGCTGGTCTGCTGTTTCGTCGTTCTGGATGTCCCAAAGTCTCCTATCTGCTTGTTCGCAATACGCGGCAGGAAGCAGACAATAAACCCAGAGAGGAAGGGTCACCGGCTAGAAAAGACGCGTGAAATAATAGAGAGACTCCAGAGCGACGCCACGCGCTCACCGCTAGTGAGGTGCCAAATAGATACATGTGGGTTTCGGTACCATACGACACATGTGGTGATATGTCGAAGAAATATAGCAGGGTTGCGGACACAAACAACTCCGGCAAGAGCAAAGCGATTGACAACGGGTATGAAGTTGGACTTTGTGCGGCCGCCTAAACTCAGAGCCGTAGACACACGCTTTTTTCCGTACCTTAGCCCTGCCATTTCGATCCAGCAACACGTTCGCAGACTTGAGGTCGCCGTGGATGGTTTCGTTTTCGTGCAGAAACGCCATACCGGCGCAGACGTCTCCGATGATACGTCGGGAGTCCTCCTCGGGAAGCGGCCCCTTTGCTTTCCGGAGGTAGGCGCGCAAGTCTCCGCCCTCCAGAAGCTCCATAACAAGAGCCAGGCGGTCTCTCCGAGAGGTGATCACACCGTGAAACAGCACCGTGTGAGGGCTCTTGAGACGGTGCATCGTGTCCACCTCGTGCATGAACTGCTTCTGCTGCTTGCTCGCCCGTTCTGCCGTTGGGGCGTGTCTCCGATCCCCATCTCCCTCGCTCTTGCCGAGGCAGAAGCCCTTGAGCCCGTGGTCGACGTTAATGATCTGGACGAGGGTGCGGGGTTCAATTGAGGGCCGGAGCATTACGTGCCTGCACACTCAGGCAATGGGAATGGAAAACATGGCCCAACTTCATTTGGAAAATCGTTGTCACTGTCTGGAGGGAGTCGATGCAACTGCATCGGGATTGACTATCGAAGACAACTCGAATGCCGTGAGGCGCTCCGCCAACTGCCACTCATCGGCGAAACATCCATCTAGCCCTCTCAGTCCCGTCCACGCAGGAAAGTGGCACCGTGCCACTCGAATGGGAGTCTTACCTTAACCGCGACGTTTTCGCCCATGTAGTCGGCCATGTATACCTCTCCGAATCCACCTTTCCCCAGCAAATCCAGTATCTCGACGTCTCCCTCCGGGATCTCTATCTCGCCCCACTTCTGTTGTCGCCGCTTACGACGGGCTTGCGCTAGGGAGTCTACGACTGACTCTGCAGACTCCTGTCAAGAGAGCAAGCAGCCGCAGGAAAATCAGTTGGTAGGGAGGGACTTGACGGAGAACACAAGTGCCGGGAAAAAGAAGAACGCATCATAAGTACGTCGAACATACGTGGCAATAAAACGAAACTCAAGTGTTGGTGATAGAGAGGGGGTTAATGGCTGCAAGCTTACCTCGGAGAGTCGTGACTGAGCGCCCTGCAGCCTGTCGTCTTGGATCATTTTGTCCATGTTGTACCTCACGGCGTGCATGTCGTCAGTTATGCGGTCCACCTTGTTGACTATCGCGTTGACGTTGCTGCCGATGTGGACCCCCATCTTAACCTGCTCGGCACACGTCAGTTATTCAATCATCGTCATATTAAAGGCGAGATTACGTCGTCCATGGACATTCCATGAACCTTCCTGAAAACATTTCCAGCAGCAGTTTGATCAAGCCACACCTCAAGGTCCTCCTCGCCGTCGTACCATGTAGAAGGGTGGGCGTGGCTAAGGTTCTTCCCAGCATGATCGCTCGCTCGCAAGGAAGGCGTGCCGGCTTCGCAGCAAAGTTGGCTATCGTCTGATTAAGATGTTCACGTTGTCTGTCCTGTTGTGTCGTTCACAATTTCGGGAACGCATGACCGCAACGTGTCTCGGCACGTATGAGTCGGCGCGGCGGATAAGAAACACCGGCAAGCAAACCATGAGCCAGCTAGAAACCTTGGAGAAACAATACCGGCAGCACTAGACTCACGTGCAGACCATCCATAGCCCGATTGACCACCGCTTCTAGCTGCTCCTTTCGGCGCTTGAACAGCGGCGACGTTACGACTTGAATGATCGTGTGGGAGCTCCTGTAGGTCTTGATCAGCTGCAACAGGTTACCGATGGCGTCCTGGACGCTCTTAACCCACGTCGTGCCTCCTCCCGATTTATCCTTGCGACGAATTGAAGGAGATACGAACATGTGCGGTTGCCTTGCGTTAGACGACATCATATTGAGAATGTAAAACTATCACCCTGGCTTTGACCTTACGGAGAGCGAGCTCTTGAACCAGGTGGAGTCACGCCTTTCCACATGTGGTCTTGCTTCTGACTTGTTGCCCTTTGGCATGGTTGGTGCCCCTTCGCACTCGAAATGGGGGCAAGATGTCCTGTATTCATCGGCTGTCTTCACTACTGTTTCTTCAGTTTATCACTTTTGTGAACAACATGAACTTGCGGGGGCGGGCCAATTGAGGGCTGGAGATGGGAAGCCCAAAGATACTAGATGTCGCTCAGCGTCGTGGGTGTGGGAGGACATTCCTTACATCCTGGCAACGCTGGGACAAGGTTGGTAGTGTGCGCCACACAGGAATCGCTGCGAGGTGGTCCTGCGAGGCGGACAAAGGGTGGGCAAGACGCCAACAGCCGCCTATCGGGCAGACTTTGGACAAATTTATGGGTTTGTTGTGCGAGGATAACGGCTTCGGATGGCTAGGCTTTTGTCCGGTTTAGCGGCTGGCAAGCACGAGAGGTTCATCTTCCTCGTGGCCATCGGCCTCAACTCGCCGTCGCACGGTCATCCACAAAGATAGCCCCTCCGGCCAGCCGTACGGTGTTTTCGTGCTCAACTTGCGTGGACGACCAGTACAAAGGCGAAACGGCGGCTTGCACTATAATCACGAATTCTATGTTGAACGCGAGACTCGCCCGCAAAGTATTGGTATCCTTCATGTGCTACCGACATCAAGCTTGGCCCCACCTCCCGTAGCACACGGTCCGCGTCGTCCAGAATGTGGAGAATTCCCGAGCACCACTGGGCTGTTGAGGTCGCCTCCGCAACGCAATCTCGACGCTCCGATGCGAAGCTCAGCATCACCAACAACAACGTCGCCACCTCGGGAACGAAGGGAACCGTCGACCTGTCCGCCAGTTCCTGCGCCGCTCTCGCTACGAGTTCGACCACGGTGAATGCGTCGGATAGGACCTGACGAACACAGCAGAGCCAACGCGAGTGTCACGGAACCAGCTAGGTTTTGCGATAGAAGCAGGACGGGAGGGAGGGAGGGAGGGAGGGAGGGAGATTGCCGTTCTGCACGGAAACTGCTGCCGGCGCCTTGTACGAGGCACACAAGCAAGTCGCGAAATACCTCTCTCGTTCTCGCAACTGACACACAACCATTATTGTTCGACTCAGCACTCAATGCCCGTCGTCTGATGTGGGACTTTGATTCCTCAAGTTACATCACATCGATACAGGCCCCCTTCGAAAATTGCACAGACCAAGACTTTAAGACGTCACACCTCCTCAGTTTCTCCTGGCGCCGCTTCTTCTGATGAAGACGGCGGTAGTCGAACGATTGCCAGTGTCTGTGAGGCAGAAGACGATCGGCGCGAAACCAAAACGGCACGTTGGTTTTGTTTCTTTGGGTGCAAAGCAAAGGTGAAAAAAGCATGCACCGAATGCGGATGGCATCCTTCTATTGACCAAGCTCTGTTCTCGACACTCCGCGCGCTATTATTCATTCCATCAAACGTCCCGGTAGGGTTACATGTAGCTTCCCTTGGTCCTCCACCTACATTCTCACCTTATCCCGAATCATCATGCGCGCCACTCGATCGGAGATGGTATCTTCGCGCTCAGCCTCGAGAACGCCGACAGGGGCCGGCCACATGTCGATAGCCGCCGGTTCCGGCGGTGTATCCAGCTCGACGGAATCGGGGTCACCTTGCGACTGCGACGACGGTGGAATCATCGAACGTGGTGACGTGTGGTCGGGTCGCCAAATCACAAAACCCAACAGCAATTTCCTCGTACACGTGTTTCTCGGAAAGGGGGTCAGCACAACGGCAAGCACAACGGCAAGAGCATAGGTACCCCGTGCCAGCGGTCTGCAGCACGACGACCGCACCGTGATCTTACAAAACGGATACTTCCACACTCTCGCCCCTTGCCGCCATACGACCCAAATGAGTCCAGGTTGCGCGAATCTGCTCCTGCTTATTCTTACCGTGAAAAACGTTGCCCCCTCCGCAATTGCTAGACCTGGTCTGGCGTGGACGAGCACATTCACACCCCCCCGGGGGTGTTTTTCCAGGACGCACGTCCGAATGGCCTCCTGCGGTGCACGTTCCGAGCGCAGCGATGCCAAGCGTCAGCGTCGGATTCGGATGGCAGCGAGATTTGCAAAACAAACCACCTGACCGGGATGCTTTCAAGGCCCGCTTGGCTGTGTGCTGCGTCTGAATTGTATGAGGTTGTCTGTATATGCGTGTTGTCGGGACCTTTTCCTACATGCTGCCGTACCATTCGGTTCATGTAAAAGGCGACTTTCCCATCGAAAAGCCCCTCCAATCGGACCAAACAAAGAAACGGTGCACCCAGAGAAGGTATGTATGCCGAACGACAGGGCAACCAATCAATACGAATATGCGCCTACATCGCTCAGACTCCGGTAAGAAATCGAAATAGGCAACATGATACACCCGTATTGCTCAAACAAAATATCACTCCCCAGCAAGAGGTCACCTGGACGAGAAAATTCTCCGAAAAGCCTCCCACCATCACGACAGACTTGACCCCTTGTAGCTCCGGTTCGTCCAGCTGCTCTGCCACCGCCTGCGAGATGCTGGCCGTGAGCGATACAGAAACCATGGAAAGATGTAGGTGGTGAGCACGTCACTTCCGGCAAGACGTTCTCCGCCGCTCATGCTAACCGTTTCAAGCGTAAGCCCGCGAAGGGTAAGCGCTAATCTATCTGCGTGGTATCGTTCAAGTGCTTGGGGCCATAGTCTGCTTTGATTGTCTTGGAGGATGCCGTTAGCGTCTCACCTCTCGATGGGCTGCTGGAATGCCTTCCTCATCCAAGCCGGCTTCAAGACCAAGACCCACGTCCCGTGACCGCCCACGAGTTCCTGACCGCAAAGAAATGGCGGAAGGCCTTGAGGGTATGCGACCGTTTCTGCTCCTTTCGCACATCAGAAGTCATTAATCACCAGCGTCGTCTATTCAGGTACGGCGGCCCTCCTTTAGATTGCATGCCATCGTGGAAAGTATCCCGTTACTTCTGCTAGTCGACAGTTTCAACCTGATGTCTCCGCAAGTCCTGCTCGTTCTCTCAAGACAGCCAAGCCCGCAAAGAGGTGGGTTGTGGTCGGGCAGCTAGAGGACGGGCCATGCAGTCGGATTTGCCATGCCCGATGCATCCATACTGTGCTGGCCTACGCTTCTGACATGCTAGGAATTCATGCGGAAAGTCCTTACTACCACTGAACCCTATTTGGGAACCGAAGAAAACCAAACCACGACGAAGAGGATGCATAGACGAAAGGATAATTTTTCAATGATGGTGCCTCAGCGCTTCCTTTCAGGCTTGGGTGGAAGCAAGGCGGTGGTTGTTCGAGTGGGCCAGTACCAGCTACCCCCGCTAAAACGACCGTTGCCATCTACGTACACCAACAGCTCCTGCTGTCCCTGTCCCTTTGATGTACACCAACTACCGCGTAGTGCACCACACCCAACGGCAGCGGCCGCGATCCAACGGTAGAACTCACCTCTCCGTGCCCATTCTTGTCGTCTCTTGCCCTATCCATGTCTTCCATGGTCACCTCAAGCGGGTCATTCCCCAGCTCGGTCAAGTCGATCCTGCATGGGTCGTTCTTGTCCTTCCAGCCCACCTTGCTTGTTTCCCAGGCCTATGCTCGGCAGCGGTGACAGCAGAGAGAGAGTGTCTGCAATGGGTGATGCAGCTCCCCCTACACACTGCGGAGATGGGTCTGTACGAAGCACAACTCTGGGATTTAGATTTTTTCGGAATGACAACTTCTAGCGACAAACACCATGATGGACGATTCCACCGCCGTTGGTGACAGTTGACAACTCGTAAACTTGAGGTTGAGTCATGCATTGGAGTCTCGACGGAGCGATGAGAGTATCGTGAAATTGAAACACGTCGCCAGCTTGTTGGCAAACCCTTCATCTAACTGTCGCGCTAGGAGGTATTGTCGGGCCACCCAAATCAGTCGCTCGGGGAAGACTGAGCTGTCACGGCCGACCACGCTTGGCTCACCTGCATGATGCGGAGCTTCGCCGAGCTGTTCAAGAAGCTGGTGATCGCCTGTTTGCCGGCGCCGGAAGCGGCCGAGGCAATGAATTCCTGAAAAGACGGGTAAAAAAGCAAACCGCGAAGTTTCACGGTCAAGTCCTTGACCAGACTACGAAAAATGGATCCGGGACACGCCGTGGAACTGTCGAAGATTCTGTTGCAAGGTATCCCGCACAAACGATCGGCCCTGATCCTGACGCCGCGCACCGTAACGTGTAGCAGTTGTTCATATTTTCGTGGGGTCGCGGCGCTCACGACCCCAGCACACCTTCTGATCAGGTTTCAGCGACCAAGCCACGAGACATGGCTTGTAACCTGGTGACTGTGTCACGCCCAACTGATTCACGCACAGGGCAAGAACGTTTCACTATTCTAAATCTAAAAAACGCGCCTGCAGGAACCCATCGAACAGGATGTCCAAGGTCTCAGCTCCCCATGGTCCGCTCCTCCCCTTGAGTAGTTGGCACAGCTCCCGCTTCTCCGTGTCGCACACGCCGACCGCATGAATATCGACGGTCACTCCTCCGCAGTCCACCACCTAAAAGAAAAGAATCAAGCCTGTGCCACGTCGATAACCCTGAAACCTGCCGCCTGAAAACTTCCGCGAGGTTCAGAGATTTCATTGAAGGAGGACAGCAATCTAGACAGTGTCCAGAGCGCGGCCCAGAAGGCGGCCAACTAGAAATGAACCAAGGTACAACACTTTAGGGATAAGTTGTGGGCGGGGTGTGCCGACATCACAACCGGTGGCGTGGTACGGACTCCTGGAATCGAAAGTACTATCAACAGTTTCACCACGTGCACAACCCAAAACCAGCGAATTTAGGTCCCACCTCTCCACATACATATATAGCGCACGCACTCACCAAATATGTTTTGCCAGCTTGCCAGTCCAGCCTGTCTTGGAACGCAAGGCAGGCAGCGATAGGCTCGGGGCAAAAATTGAGACCCTGAATACACGGTAAAAACAGAGCCGAACAATTGAAGAGCGGTGGATGAGCCTCGAATCACAGAAATACGACAGCCAGGCCGACAAAAAGTGAGTGGTGGTTCGCCATGAGATCCGAGACGACCACCGAGAGTCTTATTCCAGGGACAAAACGAGCGCAATGCCGGCGGCGCCAATCCCGCACCTCGCGGTCGTGCCAATCGTTGACCAAGCCGGCCATGACGGCGGAATTTCTCACGGTCTTCCGTTGGCGGTCCGGAAGGGAGGCTGGAACGGTCAGCACCCACTTTATGGAGGCGGCCGATACCGGTTCGCCCGCCCCGGGCAGGTTCTTGAGAGCAACCTGGAACGATGTTAAGGACCAAGGTGGGCGGAATCGGGCTGCCTCGTTTCGTTTATGTCCTTCACGTGCACACAGAGCGCGGCGGCTTATCCTACGCACACCACCGACGCGTTTTGACAAGAACAAGACGTATATAGAACGAAGAAAGCGTGCGAGTTGAAAGAGGAAATCCACTTGCGAGTGCTCTCTGTACTGTTTAAGTGCACTGGGAACCATCCTAGCTTGTCGAGATGTTCGGAAACACCGTGCATGGACGTTCTAACTGCACTCCACGGCGCACGCCGGGCACATCGTTCATCTCGCCCGGCTTTCATGGACTCTCGTGTCGGACGAAACTATGCTCAACGCTCAAGAAACAGGGAGTGACGTTCATTCGCTTGCTTACATCTCGGGCGTGCATCAGCAAGTAGAACATGATCTTCGACAGTTCCATCTCAGAGCGGTTCCTCAAGCACTTGACCGCACTCTCCGACGTCGGGTCTGACTCAACCCGCATCCGCTGACGGCCGAATCTCCTGAACAGCTTGGCTCCGACCGGGAAGCTGCCACAGGCGTAGCTCTTCTCGGCGGTGTGACCGAGCGACACAACGGACACGTTGTCACGATGCACCAACAACGAGTTCGGGCTCTTGCGAACGACTTTTTCGTGAGGCTGCTGCGTGTCGAGGTTTCGGACGGCCGGAACGGGATTCCAATTGGACTTCCAGGAACATGCCGTTCCGAACTTCCCGATGTCGATAGCGACGACAGGAGGAGCATCTGTGGAGATTATCCAGCAAAGGGGCACAAATTGAGAATAACCACATCGCATCAGACCGTACGACAGGAGCCAACCCGTGTGATCGAGGCGAGTAGTTATGACTGGACGCTGGACTTACGTGCAGGAATTGGTGTGTTATTCGCAACTTAGACCATCGCACGGTCAATTTTATGCATGCACCGCCGTATTTGAACTCCTCTGTATGACCCCGGACCGGAGCCCTTCAGGAACGCCGCAGGGTAGGCAAAACAGCTATAATATCGTGCCGACAGCAGTTATTACGTAGAGAAAAGGTCACCGGCCCCGTTATAAGACAACATGGAGCAATATACCAATTATTCATGGTGATGCATGCCGTAGGTGACGTACGATACCACACCCCCGGGACCGATTTTCAAAGCTCGATTGCTCCACGACATAGAGGATGTGCAGTCAAACGATAACGGAAAAGCTCTCGACCAGACGGTTCCAACGCCGCCTTTGTTGGCACCCTCATTCCGCCTGCTGTGGAGTGATCGAGCTTTGAAAGTTGGTCCAGGGGGTGTGCTGTCTCACGTCGCCTACGGCGTCCGGGAGAGAGTCTTGCATACATTGAGAGAGGTTGCGAGCTTACTACCTGTTCTAAGTTTTCTGCGCCAAGCATGAGACTCGCCAGGCTGAGACTGGTGTTTGTTGAAAGTGTCCCAACCGCCTACAAACTGCCGTCTGTCTGTAGACTACCGCTGTACGTCCTGTGTACAAACGACTGACGCGCCAGCCAAACCACAACAACGTCAAAATGAAGTGCGTACAACAGGGGCCTGTGGCGGTGGGCACGCACGCAGCCGGGCCCGAGTGATTACCACAGGAAAGCGGAGCACGTGCAGCAATACTGCTGATGCTGGTACTGCTGTATTGTAGTATCGGCTGTGGTCTGACTGCTCGGGTTCAAGTTGTCGACGACGTGTGTGATCCGGGTCGAGGGCGATTGGCTGAGGATACGAGCTACAACCTCAAAGTACAAGCACTAAATGATGGTACAGGACAGGCAAGGTTTCTCTCAAAAGCCAACGCATGCGCGTGTTCTTCACCTCTTGTGCCGAGCACAGGAACGGGGTAGTTGGCATGCTGGCGCTTTGATGTTCTCCAAAACAAACCCATCCTTTCCTTTCCTCGGTTTGTTGTATGCTACAACGGCCGTACAGAAGTAGTTCCCGAGCCCCTGTCCTCGCTGTCTCCCTCAGAATAACCCTGCGTCACCCCGCCACAACCTACCTCTGCACGGGAGAGAGAAAACAAGGGGGGGGGGGCAGAGATAGAGGAGCCCGGTGTACAGAATGCAGACGACAGGCTGTGGCTTGCACGCGCCGGGTGGTGTGGGTGAGGGGTGGCGGCACCGTACATGTGCTGGTGCGATTCCAGCGCGGGGAAAAAGCAAGGAAGGTACGCCGGGCGGACCACCGTCATCCGACCAGCAGCAAAGATCCTGTTTTTTTCAAATCCGGGTCGATGCCCCTCTGGCCTTGATCCCGATCCCCACAGCCCATGATGGATTGATGGATGGCAGCGCCGTCGTGTTCTCGTGCCTTCACACGCTTCTTTCACAGACTTCGCTCTCTTCCTCGCCGTTCACTGGCAACGTGCAGCACTTGTTATGTATCATCTACATAATGACAATCTGGCCACCCTGGGGACCTGCAACACCTCAACCTCGACCTGGAGTTTGATGCGTTGTACAATATGCATATTGCCTAGATACATTAGTGCAGTTTTTCGATTTTTCGGCGCCAAACAAAGATCGTGTATATACCCGTGCGTTGTTCCTGGAGAAAAACACTGCGAGTTGCGAGTTGAGGGTGTGAGACGTGTGAAACATTGAAACGTGAAATAGCGAAAGCGACAACTGTAGCAGACACACAGGTAGAGGTCATGTATCACTGGATCCTGGTCTGTGATGAATGATGAAAAAACATAGAGGATGTGGACAAGTGGACTGACCTGTCAAAACCGGACCAATTAGAAGCGCGCAGCCCGAAATCTTGCGAGCATCTTGTTGGGCCGCATTGCTGGTGTGCAGCATACCATGACACCATGACACAACCGCGCGTAGTCGTGAGAGGGGACTACAGCAGTAGTGTAGGTTGGTCGAGAGATGTGCCATGGGCACACGGATCTTGGCATTCTTGTTCTTCTGGGGGAGCACTCCTGACTTGCTGGTCGCGGCGTCATGCAAGGACGGTGAGTTTGAAGTACAGCACAAGTGTGTTTGATGGTGTTGTTTTACCCGCCAGAAAGGATGGAGGATGCAGAACCGGAGGATGCGGAAATATGGCTTGTGGAGATGAGGCTACACGATACTCTACAGCATGTGCGCGCGTATTTAGCGCGGATCCTGAACAACAGTTGGTTTCGAACCGCTGATGATGCCAGTCCCGCAACTACGGCAGGTGACACAAGATACCACACCCCCTGGATCGATTTTCACAGCTCCATAGGCCGGTCGCCCCGGTAGTCTAGTTGGTTCCTCGAAACCTTACCTTCTAGAGGTCAGGTCAGAGGTTCGAATCCCGGCGTAAGCGAGCTTTTCTTACAAAGTAAGTTTTTCTCTCGCTTCCGCTCCTGGCCAAGTGGATAGCGCTAAATAGTTCATGTGTACACAGAGGGAAGAGAGTGCTGAACTCTTCTCACGTTAAAAATCGAAGGCAAACCACCGCAGGAGGGGAGGGTAGAGAGGGGCTCTTCTGTGTGACCATGGGTTGGAGTAAACGGCTATAGTGCTGTGAGCGCTGATTTGAAGTGAAGGCAAAAAAAAAGACATATATATGTCACTTCACGACGAAGAGGACGAATTAGCCAAACGATACGTTTTCGGAAAGCTCTTGAAAAGACGGTTCCAATGCCGCCGCCGTTTTCGGCACCGCCGCCACTCTTTTCTTTGCTGCTGGGGAGTATATGATCGAGCTTTGGAAAACGGTCCAGGGAGTGTGGTATCTTGTGTCATGTCACCTACAGCAGTAACAACCGTGGACCGTTGCTCGACATCATCGGCCATGAAGCTGGGAAAGCCTAAAAAAACGAAAACAACCACTGCGTCAGTACCACGCGCAGTCTACCCATCGACTTCTATAACTCTAATTAAAAGCTGAGTTGATTTTCATCGGAGGCTGCCAGATGTTGGCGGAAGTCTGGCAGCACATCCAGGCCTCGTAGAAGTTGGCACCTATGGAAGTTGTGGAAAGTTCCATCACGTCTATGTACGCTTCGTGGAACTGGTGGAAGCCTTCATGATTTCCACGAGTTTCCACCGAGGACCCCATTGCTTCCGTGGAAACTCCCCTTCCTTCCGTGGAAGTTACCACCAACTAGACCGGTGGACCAGATCCACAGCGACCACGGGGTGGATTTCGATCGAAGGGACATAGTCTACAGTAGGGACCGGGGAAGAAACAAAAGTTTACTTCCGATTGAGGTTCAAATTTACTTTTCATGTCGTCACGCTCATGGAGTACAGGGTACCTCTTAGAGTTTAGTGTAGGATCCTCGACAGAGGGAGCTGTTTCCTGGCCCAACTTCCATATTTTTCATCAATATTTGAGCTTATTTTTCTCAACGGCATATTACTGAACTGCGGGCCCGCACTGTTAAACACGTGCACCCTCTCAACTCCGTACAACGTACCGAGGAAGGTTTAAATACAAAGACGACACGGCCAGGTTCACTGGCATACTTGACACCGATGCAGTCTAGGGTGTGAGGTACATACTCTTTTCCACGACGAGCATGAACGGCTTGAAAGGGAGCTTTTATGGGGGTTTCCGCCACAGAGGGGTATTGGGTAAATACAAACAATCTTTAAAAGGCGTCCACCAGAAAGGAGAATAGTGTACCGGTAGCAGCGTACCCCCCGTGAAGCGCAAAGACCACCAAACAACAGCGCATTTTTGAGAAAAGCTCACAGCAGCCACGACACCTCAGTATAGCCGGATGTTGCCCTAGTAGTCACTAGTTTTCGTCATGCGCGCTAGCAGTTTCACCACTCATGGCCCGGCCCGTACCCATGAGGCTGCAATGAGCGACGAGTGCCTTTGGGAAAGAGGTGTTTCGCATGAAGTCAATGGAAGCCTTGATAAGCGAAGAGAGATGCAGAATCCAACCGATTTTTCCACTTGTTGTCAATCCACTACCCCACATGCTGCTTGGTGTGTTTGGTCCCGCTTACAAGGTTATCCAGCCGACTACTCTCCACGAGGATGCTTCGCTGACTCGACCATCGATAGGATTATGCCTAACATCCGGCTAGTACATCTCCAGGAGATGACCCAGCAAGGGCCTATGTCTGCCGAGGTACGCCAATGATGAGGCTGTCTAGTGCGTTTCATGAATCACGTGTGGTTCTCTCTTTTGCCAGGGCCGTTGAGCGGACTGAAATTTCGTGGAATTACATCCTATTCCCGGAGGATATGCCACACACGTGTACAGCACACGTGTATATTTGTGCCCCCTGCTTTTATTCCCCCCCAACAAGCATTTAGAACATTAGTATCGATGTGCTGCACAAGCTCGATCATCACGCATTTCATGCTCGTAATCTCACGTATTTTCCCTCTACCCGTGTCACGATTTCGTGCGGTCAGACTTGCTACTTTATCTGCGACGATGGGCTTAACACGCACTTCGGCATGGAGTACTCGACGGAGGTTCGTAATCTACTTGATAGCGGCTTGAAATTGTGCTTCGAGCACGGGGCTGCAACCAACCTCGTGCGTGTTCCGAATGTTGCACTGTTTGCCGTCTCTTTTCTCGTCCTCTTTTGGCTACACGAGCGTTCGTTCGCGTGTACCGCCTAACTTTGCCGTTGTTGACAAAGCAACATTTGCAGAGTTCATTGCAAGGACGTCCATCGCGCCAGCCAAGGTCCTCCCCCAACGAAGACGCAAATATTTCGGGAGATAGATCAGCATCCCAGTTCCTCACGGCCAACCAACCCCTTGTCTACCCCCCCCCTCCTCGAAACGCTCACTGAACAACAGTGCTGGTGCGCCGTTGAGCCTGACTTGACCAAGCATGGCCCAGAGCTTGACCCCATCGAGTGCGACCATCTTTGCTTCGGCACCACCACCGACGAGTACTGCGGAGGTTTCAACAAGATGAGCGTGTACGAAATCACGGCATACCAGGGCTGCCACAGTGAGGACTTCGAAGTGCCCGTGGAGCACGTGCCCGCGTGGGTTCCTGGCTCAGAGGATAAGCAGATTATCGGGCAGCCATGGGATTTTCAGGAAAAGTTCGACCCCGTCAACTTTTTCTTTTCGGACCGCGGCGATTCGTCCTCGTTCTCCAACCATGTTCGCAACGGATCATCATGCGATGTGTGAGTTTGAAACTCATCTCAACTCTTTACCATCCTGTTGAAAATGTATACACGTTTGTTTATTTCCAAACAAGAAAATTTTGTACGAGCCTCGTGAAAGCCTTCTGACACATTGAGGAGATTATCGGGAAAACGGATGAGATGCCCTTAAGGCTCTCATGAGGCTAGTTTCTGACACGGGTAAGAATAGAATTCGACTGCCGAACGGATATGTCGGGAAGGTTCCCGACATGAAATTGCCATCCTGGTGGGCGGCCGGTTAACCGCTGGTTAGCCGCCGTTTTTCTTGTTTTGCCGCCCTGCCAAACTCGTTACGTTTTCAGCCAACACAACACTCGTTGTATGGCACTAATGCCCTACATATTACACTTGTGTTTCGGCGAAGACATACTGGAAAAGACATCGGTGTACTACGCTGAGTTCCACCAAGGGCAAGGTCGAGTAGTGCTCGCTCGTAGTCGTAGTTCCCATCACCGGTAGGCGTGTTCTTTCGGGGAACTGTTGTTGTGACTTGGATGGAGCGTGCACGATGAGAACGTCTGCTGTTGTTCTTTCTCTGGGTAAAGAAGACAGTTTATCTTCTTCCTGATTGTACCGTCAACCTCAACATCAATCCTGATCCTCTTCAGGGAAGACGACCACAAGAAGCTGTTAGACCAGACACACGTTTGGCAAGGTGCCCGAAAGACAACTCCAAGGGTATTTTGTGGCATCTACACGCACCAGAACAACCATGCGACGAAAGTGAAGGCGAGCGGACGTTTGTATCGATCGAAGGATCACCTGATGGAACTCTGTCCTACTCCATTGAAATAGCGGTCAAACGCGTCGCATGCACCGCTCCTATGTTTTTCTCTGGTAGCGCGCTGTTGGGTGGTTACTAAACTTGCCATCGATACCGTCGCAGGAGATGCGAAGCGAACAAAACCGCTGGCTGTATTGTACTGTTCATTGACCATGATGGTGGCAACAGTTGTGGGCCGACTAGATGCCAGGAACTCCTGATACTATCGATGGCAAAAATTTGCGACATTGGCACATGGTAGTGTATGAGGTGCACAGAGAGATACAGGTATTGCCGCAGCAGGCACAAAAAAACACCGCTAGACATCTGAGACACGAATCAAGCTTCCGTGATACATTGGAGTCAGGACAACGTACTTCGTGCACTTGTTTCATGCGCATCCCCCCAAAATGAAGTCTCGGGCAAGGCATGGCCTCGCATTAATCCCGCTGTCCCTTCCGTAATGCTACTGTATCCTATTGTGAGGACTGCTGTTACCGTTGCTGTACTCTGGTTGGTCGCAGGCGATCAAAGAGACATGGGCATCCCACTGTGACGGATTTGTTGCTTTCAGCGATGCCGCCGACCTCGAACTTCAAACGTGAGAACATTTTGTGATGTTAGTTCCTGGTGCCGTTTTTCATGCCACGCGGCCGACGCAGACAAATGGTGTACCAGAATACCAGACACGCAAACAAGTCCAGAGTTACAGTAAGCCCTAATCCTAGAGTAAGAGTGTGGGGTAAGGTCAGTGAATAACGACGGTGTGGGGAAGATCGTTTTCTTGACAAATACAACCCGCCGACATGTGCTCGTCGACGCAAAATCGGTCAGGTTTATGATAAAGCACGAAGGTCCGGAGGAGTATACCAATATGTGGCAGAAGAGCAGAGCAATATGGAAGTACATCAACTTCCACTACAAGGATGATTTCGATTGGTTCGTTCTTGGTGGGGACGACCTGTTCATCATCGTGGAAAACTTACGCAAGGTTTGTCGGGGCAGATGTAGCGCGAAACTTTATTTTTAGCTCTCATGTCGTTTCAACCTGAGAGTCCGGCTTCGCTGTCCGTGGTACTTTGCACCCAAAAGATTTGGGAATCTACTGAAGAGCTGAGATAAGGGAATTTTCTCTCGGCTTCTCGGTGTTTTCTTCATCCTTCCGTGACTACGTCTTACGCGAAACTTCGGGCGTCCTTTTCTAGCGTAGAGGGCGACAGGACAAAGTTGCGTGCAAAGCATTGTCCGCGACATGACAATGACGTGAGAGGTCCGGCGAGAAAACACCGGTTGGATCGTGTCGAAAATGGAGACGCCCTCTTGGTTCTTAAAGCCCTGTTGTCAGCTAGCGTTTTTCCTGTCCAACACCCCCCTCGCGTAATCGAAACGCAGTACCTTCTATCGGAGGAGGTCAAGCGCGCGGCGGGGGGTCTGGAGAATGGGGGCACAACCCCCGTGTATCTCGGAAGGCGTTTACGCGGGTTCGGTGATGACAACCGAATATACAACAACGGAGGAGCGTCGTACGTGCTGAACCAGGCGTCTGTGGGGTTGCTGGCGGACCACTTGGACGATGATGACTGCCAACCTCATACGAAGAAGCCCTGGGAAGATGTGCTGGTAAAGCGTAGGCTGGTTCTAGGAGCGTCAACCCAGTGAGATGCAATCATCGATGCACGAGAGAGCAAGTTAACAAGAAATGAGATGGGGGCGAGGAAAAGACAGACATGGGGACAAAAGACAGAAACGAGGAGCTAAAATATGAAATGAACCCCGGCCAGGTATACCTCAGGTGTATCGCATCCCGCCCCTTCAGAGAGAGAGAGAGAGAGAGACGGGGACACGGAGGGATGGAGGCAGTCAAACGGACAGACAGAGACAGATATGTAGAGAGAGAGACCGACTGAGAGTACGGTGATGCAGTTCATGGCGACGCTAGCTCCAGTACAAGCTGTAAATTCAGCCTTTCGCAACCGAAATCAAAGCATTGGACCATCAGCGCTGACTAATGTAGTGTGATGCTTTGGCTTCGGCTTAAAAAAAACTTATTTGATCCTGGGATCTAAACGGCCCGATCACCTCTACCTGTATGGTGTCACCCATCTCCTAACTGCTGATATAAATAATGCCCTCCAGACTTAATCAGGTGTATTGGTCATTGTTGTCGAGCAACACGTGTCTAAAGACACCTACTCGTCTTGTTGCTCCCGCCCGGGAATGTTGGCGTGCGTGCATTGTCGAGGCACCAGATTGGTTCATGCCTGAAGAAGAACGGTGTGGAACCTTTCGACACCAGGGACAACCTCGGGCGTGAGCGGTTCCACCCCTTCACACCGGGGGCTCACTTTGGGTGAGTGCGTGCGCATGCAGATGGGCAGATGGGCTGTCTACCGTGCTTGTTTCGTTGTGCCGGGTAGCAACGTACAGCAGACGGAGTTGACTCGAATAGAAAAGGGGGTACGAGTACACAAACCCTCAGCTGCACCCAACATCCTATCACGGAACGCTGGGGGTCTCGTTCCGTCTTCGTAGTCAATTTCCTTCTCGCGGTTCTCTTGTTGCTTCGCGTTCGACGAACTTTTCGAGTATCTCTCTTATTTCTCGATTCCGAGCACCATCAGCATATCGTTGCTGTCGGTACCTTGTATGGGTGAGCGCGTCGAAAGGTTGTCGCTGTACAACCTTTCATCGGACTCGTAGAGAATGGTGTTGTCTCTCTGACCCCCAGAACGGAGGACAGAGAAATGTCGTGGGATTGCAATACATACCAGTCTTGCATTGGGTGTGACACACGTCAAGAGGAGAAGATCGACCCGTGAAGCCTGTCAAACACGGCAAACTTGAACGCTCATGTCTCATCACGTTGTCCTACTGTCTTGGGATCTCCTCGAAACATGTCGCGGTGGCAGGTATCGCAAACCACCAAAGCTGGAGAATCGCCACGTGCCAGGGTGTAAGGTTGGCGCATGGTACCTCATCCAGGCGATCGATCTGAAGTTCGGTCGCGAGTGCTGCTCGGACGACTCCATCAGTTTCCACTACGTAGATGAGCAACTGATGAGGCGGCTTCATGATCTCCTGTACCTCTGCCCCGAGGACGAAGTAGATGAAGTAGCCGTGGTATGACGTCACAGTGTGTGCTTGAGCGCTTCAGGTTCCCGTTCAGTGATGGCGTTGCGGAGGGTGCCGTGCGTGAACTTTCACGCACTGTTTGTCCTTCCATGGTGGAGGGTAGGTTTTCTTCCCTGCAGTTTGACGCCTGTTCCTATTCAGCGCCAAACTGCGACCCGTTCTGTTCCCATACGATCGTGGATGACAATCAATTCGTGTGTGCACCAAGTGTTAACTTCATGGTGGATGAAGGAAAGACACGGCTAGATCCTTCTCGCGATCAAAACCAACAGCAAAAATACCGTAGAAGAAAAAGGCTTGTTGTGGCTTGCTTCCTGTGTGACCCTTGCTGGCGAATCCGAAAGACATGCCGCAAGGTGTACGTATGGACGTCCAGAAAACCGATGAAAAAGACACGGACAGGGAAAACCTATAGCGTTATACGCTGCAACGGTAAGCCATCTTCAAGGATGCATGGTGAACAGTCAACTCTGCTGCCTACTGTACCTAGTGTTGTCACAGGAACGGCACACCCGCAGCACTTACGCACAAGCCATACAATACACCACCCAACACAGTCATCTTGAGACAGGTTTTCGTTTGGAAGTGAAGACGTAGGATAAAAGAGCGTTTAGGTTAGCTAATGGGGGCCTGGGGAAAGATGGTCACATAGTCCATTCGAACCAACAAGCGGTCTGGCGGGATCCAACTCCCACAGCCCCATACGCTGGCCCGGTCGTTCGGGCATCGCGTCGGAGTAGAGCGCAATCGGCGGCCGCAAGCAGTATGGTGGTAGAGAAAGATTTACCAAGAGCCCGATCGCCGGCCGAAACGTATCAGCCTTCCAGTTGTCGTTGCCGTCAACGTTCGTACTCGCCATCAAGAACCGCGCACCGCTGGCCTCTATGTTCTGCAGCATCCGCACGTTGTGTCGAGGGGCGAGGTGGAGCATGACGTCCCTGCCAAAAACCGACGCAAAGCGATAAACAACAAACCATGCATTGAAGTGTTCAGCTATGGACGGCCCGCGCTGCCAGCCCAGTGGCTCCGTAGAAGTGAGATAGTCGTTACTTTCTTGGTCTCTGCAGGGTGGGCTTCAAGAACACCGATGAAAATGTGTAGCAAACGTCCACACCACCACGGCATGGCAACATCAATTATTTCAGTGTCAATGCTGAATGAAGCCCTCTCAACATCCCGAAACGGCCGCGGGGGCCCTGCTATTGGACTGCTGTAGGCGATGTCTCGAAAGACGTTCCGCTAGACAGGCGCGGTTCTTCAGCATCTGACCTGACGAAGATGAGGTCGTATGGCTTTCCATCCATGGAGGGTGGTATCCGCTCAACGAGATCGGCCTGGATAAACGAATCCTCATGTAAGCCTCCTGCGTTTGCCGAAGCCACGGCTTCATCTCCCGACCCCCCGCTGTGGTCCTGTAGTTTGGAAAACTTGCGTCGATTGTCTTCCACGATGCTGGGGGAGATATCTGCTCCGAGGTATCGGACTTGATCGATACCACGAACAAGAGGCATCCAGGTCGCGTCTCCGCAGGGGGCGTCGAGGATGCTCGTCACCCCATGGGAACGAATTACCTCTTCCAAGGCTAGCCGTATTCTGTTTGTGTTGTGCACTGTCGAACCTGGCCCACTCCGGGTCTCGGCCCAATACTCCATTCTGCTTAAGTAGAACAATTGCAAAGACGTCGCACATGATATCGGAAGAGAGGCGGTTAGATACTGCAGTCTTGGTGTCTTGATGGGATGTTTGCATGTGGCAACAGTGCGCGATTTTCCAACTTCTAGCTATGGATGTGGTGGCATGAATCTGGCTCCGTATACATGGGACAATCCCCCATTGACGGGCATCTGTACCCTATCGTGGTATGGTTCACGAATTCAAGCAGACACGGCGAACTTTCTTCACTGGCACGCGTCGTCGTGGACACTGCTGTAGTATGTGGCATCCTGATATTTGGTTTCGGGGATGTATGTTCGTGTCTGTAGGGGGGTTATTGTGGACTACTTGCAGCATTTTCCGTGCCAATATTGGGAGAGGACATCTGCTGAAATACCAGCCCCTTGGAGCGCTCACCATTTTTCAGAACATTGAATCGCTCTGGTATTCATGTTGTGTGTGGCCAAAAATCTCGGGGATCTACGATATGCTGTGAACTCGAAAAGGAGCGCAGATCGACCGCGTCCATGGACTACAGTGTCAGCCTACATAGTACGGGAAATTGCATGGGTTATCAACACGGTAGGTAGTAATCTGAGCGAAGCCCATCAATATACCTGTACACATTGTCGAAGTATGCCGAGCGCTTCTCGCTGCTGTCCAGGCAGGCACTCTCGCCGCACATGGACACGCTGGATGTAGATGACAGCCCTTCGATTTCTGCATACGTCGACACGCTATCGCCGGCTTCGGCCCAGGCCCTAGCCTCGTCCGAGTCATCTCCGGCACTCGTCGCAGCCTCGTGATGGAGGGTGGCCACTATCGTGTGCCACATGCCGGGTAGCGGCTTGTGAAGGCTGAGAGTGGTGTCCGTGCTCAGCAGGGCACAAGGTGGTGGTCTCGGATCCCCTTTCTTGGCGAGGCAAACGGAAACGCCATCCTCTCGCAGTGCCTCGATCTCCTCGTGGGTCAATATGCGCCCTTCCCGGCTTGACCTCAGGGAGAAGGCTAAGTCGATGTTCGTCCCATAAACGGCTGCGGATCCATTCGACGGGCTCTCGAACACCAGAACTGCCGGGGGGTAGCTGAAGGCATTCGACGCCGGGCTGGCGTGTGCTCGATTGCAACATATCACTGATGCTGCTGCTACTACTCCCAGCAACTGGAGCAGGTTCCGCCGCAAGATGGATCCGAGCTGGTTTGGGCTCCGTATTGCGGAGCGATCCGTCATGGAGTCCTGGGGATTAAGATCGGGTGGGTCTCCCGGGTGGTAAATGGAGGTGTAAATATCTGTCAAAATCTGTTCATTAATAGGTTGTTGAGCAGAGGTTTCGCTGGTGTTCCTAAGAAGGGTAGTGAGTGGTGCCTTCCGTCCGACACTGAATGCTCACGTCCCAAGCGTGCTTGATTCGAGATTGCGCCGCGTTTTGTCCAGTTTTTTTTTTTTTCGGGAGAAGAGGGAGAGGCTATCACTTGTCAAAACGTCAAAACTGCTGGCACATGCTGTAGACTACACTCATCTGTTTGAGCACTCACCTCAATAATGCGTTCGAGATCTTGAAGCCTTGCTACTTCTGGACACCAGGGTGCGCATGACCATGCAAGACAGGGGGGGCTACGGTACGGAAAAATCCCCCGACGATGGAACATTGGTCAAGATCTCCGGAGAAGCACACAACATATGAACAAAAAAAAGAACACGGAAAGATCCAAGCAACCAGTCGCTACCTCACTACAGCAGTCGTCTTAAGTAAGAGAGCTGAATGATCACAACCTGCCGCGACAGGGTCGCCGGGAGTTCTGCTCCTCCTGCCGCTACCGTCTCTCCCTACGGTTATTGTGACGCCATGTTGCCATCAGCGTCGCCGACCATGCTTCTTTGTGCAGACTAAAGTACGTGTAGAATACATACATGTAGAGAAATCTTCTTTGATGGTGGTGCGGTCGTCCGAGATGATACCACGCAGGAAAAGATGATGCGACCGCTTCCACGAAATTGCATAGTACCCCCCTCCCAGCCCGCCGCCAGGCAAACGGTGCCTCTTGTCTGGGGAGGACACTCGCCACCACAACTACTGTATATTTACACTATCAATCTTGTCGCTTGCGGCGCGGCAGGGGAAAAAATGGAGTGCTACCGCCGGGCAGACCAGTTGTCATCTTTCCTGCTGAGCGTCCAGCTCTTTGACCCCTGCTGTTGCCATTCGGTGGTCTTCAACCGCCGGACATATTGGCAGAAAACGGAGGCCTACTTTTCCGCCTGGCAATGGTTGCGTTGGGTAAGCGAAGTCCAAAGTCTCATGATACATATCGCCCCTGATCTTTCTCCAACAAGAGGCAACGCTGACACCCTATCTACCTCGACGTGTCACACAGTCCACGCCAACGAAATTGAAACTCGTCGCAGTGAGACAAGTACCCTGACGTCGGCATGCACGTGCGTATTTTTATCTGCGCAGCGGTATCCTCGGACTGGCCCTTTTCTTCGGGCGATGCACATCAAGGCGCGACGGTCCAACGTCCCTCATCGACCTAAATTGAGCTATGCGTGCGAATGTATTCTACACATATATTTTCCGAGAACTAAATAGAGGGGTCCAACGGGCACCACGGAAAAATAACCTTATGACGGGATGTTACACACCCGACTTTGTTGCAACTTCGAATATCCTTCGAAAATCCTTCGTTTGTGCACATATCCTCTGCACCTTCCCAACATAACATATATGAGACACACAAGACAGCTACTAAACTGTCTTGTTGAGCCTGTTACCCGCAGGGGAGATGTCCCTATATGCTGTCTGGGAAATCGTAGACATGCAGGTACTTTCTGACGCTATGAATCCATTGCTAATCTGTCTCAGACTCTTTTCTATGATAGAGATGGTTTCGTTGTGTCATACTAAGAAAAATAAAAAAAAATCGAGAGCCGAAGCCAAACAGACCATTACAACTCTAAATGGATGGATATATCCCCCCCCCCGTCCCCCCATCGCCGTCACAAACACCCGCGCGCCCTGCAGGGTGTACTTTCTTGCGATCTTGGCACTGAATGCTGCTGCACCAGGAGCCAATAACCTCTGCCCTTACGTGAGCTACCTACAGTGTCGGTCACCAAATTATGTGAATCCTTACCAACGACTCCTTCCTCAGCTCACACGCCGATATATATGCAAAAAAAGCGTATTACACGTATACTAACAACTCTCGAAAGCCGGAACGGGCGTGTTATGGCCGGATGCCTGACGACCAGCATAAACGGGCGACCGGGCGACCCGCCACTTTCATCATTCCAAGCTGAGCTTGAGGAGAAGCACATCAACTTTCCGCCTCCATTGGTTTCAATGATTGTCCGCTGCCATTGTTCGGTTGTTACACAGGGGGTACCTCCTTGACAAGTAAAAGAAATCCGGGCGGTTCCTGGGCAGGTGAGCCCAGCAGCGCTTCATGTTCTCTTCGATGTCAAGAGGGGTGCCAGTGGGAATTGCCGGGCGCTGTCGCATGGTAAACACGCGATAGAAAACTGCGTCATTGCCAGCTAGCTCCGACCAAGGAGTTTTCCGTGACATAACCTCCCACAACACCACTCCGAAGCTGAACACGTCGCTTGCGTAGGAGTTTCTTTCGCCGTACAGCACCTTAAAGCGAGGATGAGGATAGCACAGGGAGCGCATTTCAGTGCGTGTGGCGGGTTTCACGGATAGCAAGTGGCGAAGGCGACTGTAGCAGTGGGTCAGACACAATTTGGCACAGCGATCATCGACCAGATTTCCGCAGAGTGCATAGTAAACAGTGTGATAGTTTCCGCGAACAGAAACTGCCCCGGTTCATGTCTTGCATCATTCTCGAAAGACTACGGTGTTGGATGCGAGCATCACTGTATTTGCTACGACATTTACCTCTGGTGCGGTCCATTGCGACGTCATCTTGTTGGTGCCGTGGCCCGCCGTGTGGGTGACCAGACGCGTGGAATTTGTGTGCTTCGTCGTTCTGGACGTCCCAAAGTCTCCTATCTGATTCTCACGGCAGGTGGCAAAAACAAGACAAAACATCGGCAGATATATTATCGCTCTTTCCCGTTCTCAGAGCAGAGGCAGGGCGACCATGAGCTTCCTGTCAGCAGTGTCAGCATGTTGGTCTGTTGCCATGCAGCACGGAAATCTTTGCGGAAAAGAAAAAAAGATAGGCAACGCTTATCCCCATTGAGTTTCTGAGGTCACCTAAACTCAGATCTTAGGCATGGACTTCATGTGAGCGTACAACCCTATGCGTTTTCCTTGGAGACTCAACCCTGACCTCAGAGCCATGGCCAAGACATGGCATTTCCGTACCTTGGCCCTGTCGCTCTTATCCAGCAACACGTTCGCAGACTTGAGGTCGCCGTGGATGGTGTGGTTTTCATGTAGAAACGCCATCCCGGCGCAGATGTCTCCGATGATACGTCGGGAGTCCTCCTCGGGAAGCGGCTCCTTTGCGTTTCGGAGGTAAGTGCCTAAGTCTTCCTCGAGCAGTTCCATAACAAGTTCCAGGCGGTCTCTGTGGGAGGTGATCACTCCATGAAGTAACACCGTGTGAGGGCTCTTGAGATGGTACATCATGTCCACCTCCTGCATGAACTCCTTCTGCTTGCTACTCGCCCGCTCCGCCATCTGCGCTGATACACGATCATTCTTCTGCTTGTTGTCGCCGAACCAGAGCCCGTTGAGCCCGTGGTCGACGTAAATGATCTAGACGGCAATTAGGTTTGAACGGCGTGGAACATGGCACATCTTTCAAAGGGTTGCGGGCAAACATGCACCAGAATACTGCACACACACTGTAGGGGTCGAAGTGTACAGTACATGACTGGTAGTATCATCTCGGGGGAATACAGAAATCCGGGGGTGACTCGCAAGCAAACCAACGTGAGCCACTGGATCCAACGCTATCAACGCTAAGTAGGTTCGTATTGTAGCTCTGGTTTCATGCCTCTGTCCTACTCGTTGAACGAGCGATACTTTCTCTCTGGACGTGTCATCTGTGAATTGGCACCTTGATAGCGACGTTTTTGCCCTTATAGTCGCCCGAGAACACCTCTCCGAATCCACCCTGCCCCAGAAAATCCATTCTGTGGACGTCTTCCTGAGGGATTTCTATCTCTCCCCACTTCTGTTGTCGCCGCTTACGACGGTCTTCCGCCAGGGATTCTGCGACTGACACTGCAGGTTCCTAGCACCAACGAGAGCAAGAGACCATGGAGGGAGGCGAAAGCAGTTAGTTAGGGGAAGGGGCTCAATAGAACACAGACAGCATGAAACTGCTGGATATCATCACACCAAGAACAGCATTTATGTATCAGTAATGCAAACGCATGAAACTGTTTGATATCATCACACTAAGAACAGCATTCTGTATCGGTAATGAATGGGTCGATGAGCACATTACCTTGAAGAGTTGTGGCTGAGCGGTCCGTGACCTGCTGTCTTTGAGTATGGTGCTCATGCAGTGCTTCATATCGGCCACTTGACTCCCTAGTCGGTTGAGTACGTCGACCACCGCGTTGACGTTGCTGCCAATCTCACTGACGTCGCTGCGAATCTCGTTGACGTTGCTGCCCATGTGAACCCCCATGGTGAACTACCCGCAGACGAAATTGGCGATCGGTGGTTATTTCGGTTGAATAGTTCGCAATATGTAGCAGAGCAAAGATCTCTCGAAACGTCTCCAAAATCAACGCCGAAGCTGATGTAAACCAAGCGTGGCCAGATGTCACCTCTCATACCTAGGCAAAAGAGAAGGTCTTGTTCATCCCCATTCCACATGGCAGACGGCGTTGTTTCGTTCAACTAGCCGTCTTTATATCCGACATGATCGCTCATGTGCGAGGATGGCGTACTGGATTTCGGTGCAAATCTGGCTTGCCTCTGTTTTCGGGTACAGTACGACATACATGACTTCGGGCACGCGCACCCACAGTGTCCCTTGCCAGCAGGGATCAGTGTTACGGTCGGCGCGAGCATCGAGAGTCCTGCAGACGACGCCAAGTGTGACGAGATGTGACGATCTCTGACGCGGGTTTAGTGTGGAGCTAGTCCGACCACTGTGTGCAGGTTGGAGCCGCTTCGCTTCTTCAGTCTGTTTCCTTCCTTATCCTTCCTTTCTCTCTCAGTCGCTCGCTATCGCTCACTCCCAGGCAAGACACCAGGGAACACCAGGCAAGACACTGAGCAAGGTGGAACGATTGCACTCGCTTGCTACTGCTAGCAACCATTGTACCTTGCTACCTGCCTAAAGTCGGAATACTAAGAACCTGGGCAGGTGGTCGGGGTTTCCTGAAAGATACACCCGCCCAGATGGTATCTTAGTCCAAGGGTCCAAATACCATAACAGTACGGTAACCATGAGCTAGCTGACAACCTTGAAGCCGGAGTCAAACTCACATCCAGATCGCTCAAAGCCTGTTTGACGACCGCTTCGAGCTGCTCCTTCCGGCGCTTGAACAGCTTCGACGTGACGACTTGAACAAAAGTATTCTTGCTCTTGTAGGTGTGGATCAGCTGTAATAGGTCGTTGATGGCGTCTTCGACTTTCTGAACCAGTGTGTGAGCCCCTGCCGATGAGCTCTTGCGACGAAATGAACAAAATGTGCACACAAACGTCTGCCCATAAGATTAGTCAACAACCCAAAAGCCGAGTATTCACAAATCGCTCACGCCGTCTTCGACGTACGTAGAACGTCCTCGTTTAGAGCAGTAGGCCAGGCAGTCTTATGGGGTGAGGTGCTTTCCCCCGGGGGCGTACGACAACGTTTTTCGTCCGACAATACGTGTTGCTCCGGCCCGTACTCTGGACGCGACGGACAAGTACTTATCACCGTTGTTTTTGCTCTTCCGTCAGTTCATCACGCATGTCCAAAACCCGCCGACCCAGGGCGAGCTAACTGGGCGTGGAAGAATGGAATGAAAATCACACGTACTCCCGTTGCCATATCGTAGGCCCTCTTCTCGCTGGAACACGGGGAAGAGATGGGAATTGGGCCTCAAACATGTATCTCCGCGAGGTTGTCTGCGAGGGGGGCGATGGGTGGGTTACATCTCGACAACCATTGTCGGGGAGATGCTCGCTACGTTTCGGGCTTGCTGTTGTGCACGTGGCAGCTTCGGATGATAGAATAAAACCGATTGCTGTCCGTGTTGCTCACCACCAAATATAGCCATGACGGCACTACGCGTGGTTGTCCCGTGGACGAATCACATTGAACGTCACTGCATCTTCCATCCTGCTCAAAACTAGTGTCTCCTGCCGTGTTTGCCTCGATCGCCGATTGTTGAGGACAAAATTAGAGGAACCCAAACATTTCGCGGGGGGGGGTTATCAGGCCGTGATTGTAGGCGAGACTTGGAGCTAGCTGGCAGCTGTGGCTACGGACGTAAATCGTGGCCCCACCTCGCGAAGCACACGGTCAGCTTGGGTCAAAACGTGAAGAGTGCCCTGGCACCACTCGGCCGTTTCCCTCGCCTCGGCGACATTATTTCGACGCTCCTCCACTAGGTCCAGCAGCTTTACCAACAGCTTCGCCACTTCGGAAATGCCAGGAACCTTCGAACTTTCCGCCAGCTCCTTGGCTGCGCGTGCCACGGCTTCGACGACTGGGAAAGTGTCGGTTCGGGCCTGACGAACATTTTCCTGAGGTCGTGCCAAGGAAATAGGAGGGGTTGGGTCAGAAAACAGGGACTGAGAGAAGGAAGGAGAGAGAGCGCTGTGTGCCGAAGGTAGTGACGAAGGCTTCCAAGGGGCGGAATATCGACTTGTGCCCCCCCGCAATACTAAAACATACCAAGGTCCTTCTCTAACTCATGCTTGACGCCATTATTTCGTTGAGGATCTTTCGGAGCAAATCAACACTTTCCCGTGACGAAGCTGGCACCAACCCGAAGAGCCATCATACCTGATCGGTAGTGCTGCCTCCCGGAGTCTTCGTTTCTGCTTCTGGAAAACGGAACGGAGTTTGAAGAGTTGCCCGTGACTGCTGTGTGGCAGAAAGAACAAAAGGCATGATTTGGAACTCATTGAGTGGGCGCTTAGCTGTCTCTCTTCTTTTCGGCACGTGTCCGGGCATGAGTGGTTGGCGTGCACCCAATGCTAGTTACGACGAAACGCTCAAAGTCGTAGAAGCACTCAGTCCGCTACATGCAGTCCACTAACATCCCGAAAGGGTCAGCAGATGCAGCTTGGCTTGGCCTGGAGGTTTGCTATGGAACCTCATGCTCTGCGTACCTGGTTCCTAAACGTCATGCGATCCAAACGGCCGGAGAGGGTATCATCGAGAGAAGAATCGACAACTCCAATAGGGTCCGGCCACATGTTGATTGTTACAGGTTCCGGCGTTGGACTCCTCATACTGGAACCAGTCTTGCCTTGTGACTGCGAGGTGGAATTATCGAGCACGGCGGTGATGAGAGTTGTGCTCGGGTTGTCAATCGCTCAACCGAACAGCACTACCTCCTACGGAGCACACATGTATCTCAGAAACAAACCGAGTTAGCACAACGGTACGAACACCCAGCGCCAGCTTTCTGGCTCGGCCGCACCGAAAAAACAACGTTCCACGCCCTCGCCCCTCGCCTCTATGGCCTACGAAACAATCGAGCCGAGATTGTGTGACTCTACTCTCATTTACCGTGAAATGTGCAGCCCCTTGCGCTATTGCGAGGCTTGGCAGGGTGTGGACGAGCACATTCACGTTTCCCAGGGGGTATTTAAACAGGACGTACGTGCGGATGGCCTCCTGTGGTGCACGTTCCGCCGAGCGCAGCGATGCAAGAAAGTGTGTTGCCAAGAGGACTTCGGATGCAAACATTCCTCGAAGAACACCAATCTGAGCGCGAGGTTGTTCTACGACCGGGTTGTTGCTGTGCCGTGTCGAATGTCGTTGCCTTTATATATTTGCACCATTTCGTACAAGCGGCGCGAAATCGGCCTACGGATTGCCCTTGGCGGTTGCGAAAAAGAAAAATGGGCACATCCAAGAAGTGCGTAAGCAAGGAGCAACCAACTCCTACCAACGTAGAGTGTTTCGCCGCGTAAGACTCTGACTTTGGACAAAAATTATCGGAAAAAATACTGGTAGATTGCTTGAACATCAAGGAGTACCTGCACGAGAACGTTTTCCGAAAAGCCCCCCACCATCACGACCGATGTGAGTCCTTGCAGCTCACGTTTGTCCAGCTGCTCTGACATCGCCTTCGAAATCCTGGCCGTGCCCGTTGCCGAAAGCATTGTACCATGAACGCGGCCAACCCATCGCGATGGTCAGGAGGTTTGTATGTTTCTCACGGCGTGTGAAGTACAGGACTGCTACGAACCAGCGCGAACCGTTCGGCGTGGTAAAAATGTGTCGGTGAAGCGCTGATGCAGAGACGCTTGGACGATTCGCTACCTCCTCTCTAGACTCACATGTCGATCGACTCTTGGAAGGCCTTCTTCATCCAAGCTGGCTTCAAGACCAAGAAACACGTCCCGTGACCTCCCACGAGCTGCTGACCACAAAGAAATGCAGCACGGTATTCCCGGCGCAACATACTGTAGCTTGAGTGCATGCGCAATTTCCGCTCGTTCGCAATTTCGCAAGAATGTGCATACGAAAATCAGCCTCGTCTAGTCAGGTATCAAACGTATCTTCGGGAAATGTATCCTAATGTTAGTTGACAGTTTCAATCGACGTGGGCTCAGTTTTTTCTCTCAATGTCTTAAATAGCCAAACTGATACTGTAAAAGGTGGGCATGGGCGGCAAGGTTTCCGCTTGTTCAGCTTTGCCGTGGTTGGCCCATCTATCTGCCGTGCCGGCCTGAGCTTCTGACACGACAGGAGACGTTACAGCAAGGCATAATGAATACCAGCACAGAAATTCGATATCACGATGAAGGTTTGCGACTCGGCAAAAGCAAGGTGGTGGTTCTTCCAGGCGCCCAATGCCATCCTACAACGCCCGTTGTCCTCCCCCACGCACACAGTAACCGTACGGTTCTGCCTCCGATCGTATACACCAATTTTCTTCGAGCACCGCCGCCGACAACGTGACCGAATGGTGGACCTCACCTCTCCATGCCGGTTCTCGTTGTTTCTGGCTCTGTCCATGCCTTCTATTGTGACCTCAAGGGGGTAGTCTTTCATCTCGGTCACATTGATCCAGCATTCGTCGTTCTTGTCCTTCCAGCCGACCTTACTTGTTTCCCAGGCCTGTGTTTGGCAGCAGCGACAACAGAAGAGAGAGAGGGCTAACCATGGATGGACGGCGCGGGTTCCCAACTTACCACCAAGGTGTGCACCTGCGCGAAGGAAAACTAGGGGGCGGTTCGCGCGTCGTCTTCAAGTTCTCGAGCGACATGCACCAGGCAAGACGTGGCTGCCACAGCTGTTCAGTTGATAGCTCGCAAACAGGAGCTTGAGTTTTGCCTGATACCTTTCATGTCGGAAAAAGTCGGGAAATTACCAAAAAACTCGACCCATCACCGCACGGGTAGATCGACACGGCTGTCGGGGCACCAAAGGCAATGGCTGGGTGAAAGCCAAGCAGTCGCAGCTGACCCCGCTTCGCTCACCTGCATGATGCGAAGCTTGGCTGAGCTGCTCAAGAAGTTGGCCATTGCTCGATTAGTAGTGCCTTCCGGAGCGGCACATCTGGCGAATCTCTGTTGAAATTAAGGCAAAACGAATCGCGAAAGCGCCAGCCAGGAACGAACGTAGCAAGAGCAAGCAATGTAGCCAGACTCCAAACCATCGACCTAGAATATGCAGCGCGGAACAGTGAGAAAAGCATGTTGCAATCATGTCGCGGAGAAACAACGCCAACCCTTATTCCGACAATTAACACACCTTAACGTGACCATACTTCGTCTTTCGTAGGTTCAGCATACACCCTGAGTGGGGTTTGGGTCAGTGATCAAGCCATCGGATGTGGTTTTCACCTTGATGAATAATGGTCGCTGCACAAGATGCGGATATTTATGGTTTGCCACCGTGTATTCGCACCTGCAGGAGAATATCGAACTGCTTGTCCGCGTTCTCAGCTCCCCATGGTCCGCTCGTGCCCTCGTGCATCAGGCTCAACTCCCGCTTCTCCATGTCGCATACGCCGACCGCATGAAGATCGACGGTCACTCCTCCACAGTCCACCACCTACAACAAAGACAGAGCGTCGTGAATCCTCCTTTCACGTCATTTATCGCGCAAACTCCCTTCCGGAACGCTTTACGGGGCTCCACGGCACGTTAGGCACAAAACAACCCGACGAAGAGTCTATCTAGAGTCAGGGTTAGGTTTTGGCGTGTCGATAGCGGCTGTGGGTACAATGTACGGGTGCGACCGCCAGTTTTCCAAAATGTCCTGGGCTCACTATTGAGGTTCTAACGGCTTCCTCGAGGTGAACGTCAACAAGCTTCCTGAAAGACTCGAGGTGAACGTTAATGAGCTTCTTGAAAGACTCTATACACGAGCCTCGTGGAACCTCAGGGCAATCAAGAGACGCGTAACAAGCAATGTACCGGACCAGTACCGGCACGAACAATGCACCGACGCGTGCACGTACAGCAGGTAACAATGTTGGGCTAAACAAGTTTCAAATTGCAAGATCTCGATGATTAAAACACCGCAGGTTTGTGTTTCCCCTCCCCCAGCAAAAAAATACATCTGTCCTTCCACGTGGCATCGTCAGGTTCCACATGTGGAACATGTGGGGCACATGCTCACCAAGTATATGTCGCCAACGTTCCAGGGGAGGCTGTCTTGACTGAGGTTGTCTTGAAACGCGAGGCAGGCAGCGATAGCCTCTGGGCAAAACACAAGATGCTGACGGCACGGTAGCACAGAAGGGAGACAAAAAAGTATATGGGCCTCAGATCGTAGACAAGCAGCGAGGAGGTCGGCGACCTGGCATCCCGCCGTGAATGCCACGTGCCCGCAGTTTTCCTATTGGTCAATATTGGTGCTGTTGATTTCTGGTTTGCTAATACCCCTTGGTCGGTTAGCGACGTCAGCAATTGTCAGTCTAATCTAGAAAGATCCGCCCCCTTTCTCTCTGTCTACAACTCCGAGATTCCATCAACGGAGGCGCCAAAGAATTGTCGTTTCAACTGTTGCACAGCAGTCATCACAAGAACAAGACCCATTCGCTTTTTTCAAGGAGAGAAGAAGCGATTGGTTCCATGATGTCCACCACGACACACTCCTGTTGCGTGATGTCACACACAAAAAAAAACTTGTCACACAGCCATCCGTGAGGTTTGGATCCACAAGCACAAGCACAAGGGCTATTGTTGCGTCCACGGCATCCGAGAATCCCCAACCACGGGTCATGACGACTTCGGGTCGACCTGCCTGCCCACTTGCAACCTCCCGGCCCTCCGCGGCGCGGCCAATGCGTCTCGATCACAGCTTTTCCCGAGACTGTGAACACGTGCTGCTCAGATCCCACACACAGCTATGCACAAGAACAAGGCCGTAGCTAGCGCTTCGGGCCTCCTCGGGGAGACATTCGTTGCATGCGCACCTCGTCGTCGTGGCCATCGTCGACCAAGCTCGACATGACGGCGGCAGTTCTCATGGCCTCCTGTTGCTGCTCCGGGAGGGAGGCTGGAACGGTCAGCACCCACTTCACACCATCAACCGTCATCGGTGGAACGCCCGCCGTCGACAGGTTCAAGAGAGCAGCCTGGGACGAAAACAGCGACGGAGGTGACTGAACGGGTCGCCTCGTGGCCTTGATTTGTACTTCGCACAAGGTGGGAAAGGGTTGTAGCGGGATACACCAGGAACGTTGGGAGAAGAAGCATGCTCAGACTTGACGAGGAGGGAATAATTCTGACCAGACGTCAAAGGGTCAAGTGCTGCAAAAAAGGCTTGAGGAATTACAGTTACTACTCAGGATGACCTATTGTAAGCATTTTTCTTGGATGTGTCTGCTGCATTCCGCCACGTTCGCGAGGTGTCCTTGGCCCTCTCATCGCCCAGCTTTCACCCGCTCTGTGTCGGGCTAAACTCTCCTGCAGGTGAGAGTAACAAGAACACGGACCGATTTTCCATTTCTCTCGCTTACATCTCTGACGTGATTGAGCAAGTAGACCAAGATTTCCATCAACTCCACCACAGAACGGTTCCTGGAGCACTTGACCGGTGTGTCCAAACTCCAGCTTGATTCAAGCCACAGCTGACGACCGAACCGTCGAAACAGCTGCCCTCCGACCGGGGAGGCATGACCGGTGAAGCACCCCTCGGCGAAGTCGCCGAATAGCACCTGTCTATTTTCGCGATGTACTAGAAGCGAGTTCGGGCTCTTGCGCACGGTTCCCTCCCTGGGCTGTTCGATCTCGAGGTTTCGCACACCGCGTGGGATAGGATGCTCATCCGCCTTCCAGGAGTAGGCCGTCCCGAACTTTCCGACGTCAATGGCGACGACAGGGGGGTCTGCGGAGTGGAACAAGAAGGGGGGCAATGCAAGACCAAATTCAGCCGCCATGAAGGGAATCTAAGCCATGTGGTGCTGCTTTGTACGTAATCGAAGAGCCTGGATGGAAGGCCGAGGAGGAACGAATTTAGGGTCGGTTGGTCGCTCGAAATGTTGACATGTTGTTGTGTTGTCCATCCCCGTCCATACCTGCCTTCACCTTTGTTTGGAACGAGAAACCACCCATACTAAACGATGATCGGACGTGAGCCGCCGACGCGCAAGTGAGAAAAAATCCGGACCCCCGGCGTAAGTCACAATTGGTGGGGTGTGAGGCTAGCGTTCGCTTGCAACAAGACACTGCGATGTGGGATGGTTCGCCACGGGCGGGGGGGTCAAGAAAAAAACAGGCTCTTACGTTTTGTATCTATCTCTCGTCGATACCCTAAGGACCCCAGGCAGGGGGCTCGCGGGAGGCAATTCAGTATGGACAGCTTCCCTTCACGCCTTCCATATGTTTTTGGTGATCTCAATCGAGTTTGGTTCAATATTGGAATCAGGGAATTAGTACTGGGGAGCCTATTTCGGGGATCAAAAGCCAGTGTTCGCCCCTCCAGTTTGGGGGCGTCAAATCTATCTTTTGCGTGACCCCATGATCAAACATTCGCAGCCTGCAGAAAAATGTAGAACGTCCCATGCCCTCCCCTTTTCCTCTCTTCTTAAGCTCGCCCTCTCAGTTCGGGGCTCTTCGTGCTGGATATGCCTCCCGTACGCCCACTTGGCTAAAAGAAAAATCTTCCTCGCCGCGGCAGAGAGCGTGACGCGAGAAACCTCGCAAAAATACTGAATTCTGAAGTTTTTCTTCGTGTCGGTCGACCAATAAAAACGCGCCAGTCTTGAACCAGACGCTGCATTGCATGTGGGTGTGGGTGATGTTCGTATAAACTCCATAATTGTGTCCAGCGAGGCGGGTGGGTGACTTGCGTATGAACGTATGAACTACAGCAGCATCGTGCATAGATTTGGTGTCAATGACAACGATGCGAGAAAATATTTAGAAAAAAATAATCATCTGCTGCAACCATGAACATACTTGCCGCATGTGGCACCATACCCCCCCCGTGGTCGCGATGTTCACAGCTAAAAGCGGCGGTGCCAACAATGGCGGGAGGCGCTGGAACCGTCTCGCCGAGATCTTTCAGAAAACGTGTCACATGATTTGTTCATCCTCTTCGTCACCTAATACCGAACAACCTACACACAAGACTTGTAGACAACAGAGTAGTCGGGATCAAGACTACTGGTTGTTTGTGTATACAGGTTTGATTCCAAGAATCGCGAAGTTGGGCACCGAACAGCGGTGAGTTTCACACTAAACACTGCCTATGACTACAGCAGGTACACCATAAAGATTGCCGTGTGCCTCATAGCGCTGAGTGCAACCCAAACTGCAATTAATTGAGGAATGTGGCGACAAAGGACCTTGACAACATGATATCATGTGCACCGGGTAGCCGGCCTGCGCGACGGTGGCGGCGAAACAAGAAGGAATCATCGTGCATTTTAGGTTCTCCCGCCGGAGGCAACGCAAAAGGCATGACGGGCGGATTCTCCGCACGTTCGTGTGGTGGGTCTGTTCTATGTACATGTATATGTAGTCTGGGCAGCGGGTTGTAAGGAGAAAGATTATTATGCGCACCACCGCCGTCGACGCATGGCGAGATTTGCAAGGCTGATGCTGCTGCCGCAACAGGTTATTTAGCTCGTTTTACAGTAGCACTCCAGACCTTTTTTGCAGTATCTTGGTCGGATGAGAGAGATCGGAGCGGCGGGATCCCAGAGATCATCACTCACATGCATAGATAGGCACTCGCATCCAAACACACGCGGACACGATTCTTCCCAACCCGGCGTCTCATGCATGTGTGTCTCTCTTCCTCACCTCTTGTGCTGGATGCAGGGGGGTCAACCTGAAGCCCGGCTCTTTGCCGGACCATCGGCACCGGCATATTCTCCTCTCTCCCGCTGTTGGGCCAGCCGACGATCAGTAGTTCGCCCGCGCGCGAGACAGAGATGGAGGCAGACGCAGAGGCAGAGAACTCCTGTAGATTTCAGGCGACGGGAAGGGGCGTGCAAGGCGGTTGCTGCTGACTGCTGACCCCGTCGCTTCGTGGCGAGGAGTTTTGGTGTTTGGTGGTGGCAAAAAATGTGCCAGCACCTGGTGGGGGGGAAGAGGGAAGAGCCAGGGAGGAGGTGGTGGTCGTGTGCGGACCACACTTACTGGTCGGAATTCAACCGATGAAAGTAAAGACCGCTGCTTGCTGCTGCCCAACTACGACTTGTGTAGCTTTTCATCAAAACAGAAACCGTGTTGGATAGTCCTTTGCCCCGGGCTCCCTTCGGTGCCCCGCTTGCCTGTTGTAGGCCCTGCTCCTTGTACCCGTGCCAATGATTTGGCCGCCCGTGCCTTCTGGGGCCTTCTGCCTCCTCGTTTTTGTGGCATCTTCTACATATATATCATGATTGTGCGCGCGTGGAGGTTTCGCAGAAAAATATACCGCGCCGAAGTCGGTCCGCATTGATTGCTCAAATGGCCGCGAAAATGCTCCTCCCAAACTGAAACTGCCTGCGAAGTGTGGAACCCTGTGCGCTTGCAGGTCGACCATCAGGTAGAGATCATGTATGTACGCATATCTTTCTATGCTATCACGCCGATCTTGCGCCTAACAGCCCTAGGCTTCGTGTGTTGGTGTGTGTGTTGCAGAGGGGTTGGACGAAGGCTCTCTCTAAGGATCATGATGCCTTTACATCGAGGCATGCACGCAATCACAATAAATGTCCGGGAAATTTCATAATGAGTTGCACGAGGGCGCACAGGAGGTACATACGTACGTGATGACAGACAAGGCACCAGCAGTCGTTCCGTCTCACGACGGCAGGGGGTTATATCATAGACAAAATTGAGCCTCAATCCGAAACCGTTTTTATTTTCTCGATGTTGCTCCCATCATCTGATTGCTGCGTGTTTCATGAATAATGTGCATTCTCCCTCCAGAACGCTCCGCCTTATATAGCCGTGAGAAGACCAGGTGCTCAATGTAGTTGCCGTGGGGGTACCCCATGTAGATAGACCAAACAAAGAAGGACCGAGCCTCGACCGTAATGTGAGGTTTTCTTCATGTGCAATAATAGCAGATTCGCTGAAAGTTAGACTTTGGACAACCAAATAAATATGCCCCCGTTGTCTGGATTAATTAATGGATAATACATACAGTAAGAGATCTATCTGCCAACTCCAACTCGAACGCAAAGAATGAATGAAACGAATAAAACCACATATATAACATCCTCCACACACCACCCACACCCATATCCGTCCACCTTCGAACCAATTTGCAGTGAAAGACTAAAAGCCCGAAGTGAATGGCATCACGTCCTTGTACGCGCGGGAACGAAGAACGCCAACCACGGAACACTGACTGTATGTATGTTTGATTATAAGGAGCTCGCAGTTGTGCTGAGAGTGTTCCGTTCGCCTCCCGTTCCGTGCCTATATACCATCATTTTCCGACACTTTCGCACGCAGAAGCGATGAGGGCCAACAACCCCCCCGTAAAACGCCGTTTCGGCGCGCGTTTGCGCCTCCGCGACGAGCTTACTACGTCCGTCCGGCTCCTCTTCCTCCTCTTCCTCTTTGTCCCCTTCCTCCTTGTCTTCTCCCCACCACCCCTCTCCCTCCCTCTTCCTCACAGCCCTCTCCCCCTCCCTATTCGCTGGACTACGGGTGAGTTCGCCTCTAGTGCACGCCGAGAACATTTTTGCCTTGTCTTGCGGTGTCTGACGCTCTAGTCTATAGGACAAATATTGTTGTTGCCATCACTATTGCCGTGACTATACCTGTGTTGATAAAAATTTTTGACAACATACGATCAATGTTGGTCAATAATGTCGTAGTGAAATGATAAAAATCCTCTGTCAGTAGTGACTACAAGGTATTCTAGTGACCCATTGTGACAGGGAAAATTCCCCGATGTTGACAAAACTCAAGAAGAAGCATTCCATCGATAGTCGAAATGCATCACTTTTTGATGAATTTGTCCGAAAGTGAATATGTCCCGTCTTGCGCCGAAACAGCCTGGCTGGGCTAGGCCTGCGCCCCTGCGTTAGGGCGTGCTATAATAATCACGCTCTCCCGTCGCCTATCATAATAGGTAGTAGGTGTCGTTTGCAGTACACAGCATGCGGGCGCGGCGAGCGCACACGAGCGAGCGCACATATGGGTAGGGGCCATGTTTGCGTGCAACAGCTTCGTCAGAGGCCGAAACAGAGAAAGAGGGCGCCTCAGGACCTTCATTGCTTATAGAGAGTGACAGACATACGAGAGGCAAGATGATTCCCACGCGGCATGTCCATCATACGCATATCATCCACGAAACCCCCGGAGGCCCCGCAGATCAGTATTCCGCCGAGCACCCCCGAACAGCTCCCTGCTCGCTACGAGATGTCACGATCGATCTACGAAACCCCCGTCGCGATCACTGCCAAGTAAAACGGCAACAAAAAAATGTACCAAATATAATCAAAAGGACAATCATCCACCATTCCAATCCAAACAATTCTCCCAAAATAACAACGCTCTACGACATCTCGGTTGATTTTCCAACGACACATGTTCTACGAACGCTTTCAAATCTTCTGAGATGATGTCAAATTACTATCCCCACAAAGTCTGTCAACAAACGAATCACCCTCTCGAGAAAAACCTCTTACAAATTCTCAAGCAGTCACACAAAGGTACCCTTGGAAAAATGCCTGGCAAAAATCAACGTTACGTTGGAATCGCGTCAGAACAGGGAGGCGTGACTCCCGGGAAATGTGTCAACTACTCATAACAAAATCCTCAACCTTCGGGAGCACAAAGGCTTCAACCATGACCTGTCATGAGATGCCCGAATCTTTCCGCCAATACACATACCAGCATAAAGGCAAAGCCCGCAAACAAACCGATAAAACAAGTCCCACACGTGTTCGGAAACGTTCCTCCAGTGAAACGTTGATCAATTTCTGCTGCAGCGTCGATCCCTCCACATCAACAGAATCGATCCAACAGCCCCCCTGTTGGGACGTCTCAAATTAACGCAGACGAAAGTCCCGTTCAACATTCAATGCCATATCAACTCCGCAGGTTAAACGCGGAAAATAACATCAAATACGTACCATAGCTCGATGTCAGAACACTGCTTGTTGAACTGCGGCGGATATCATGGTATCACGCCCCCACCCCCATGATTTCCGACAGCAGGACGACAATCAGCTGTGATTTCCGCAACGTCCAGAATGCCAATTATGCATTCCAAATCCATCAGACAAAATTCTAATCTACTAAACAAAAGGAAAGACAAAAAAAAATGTATGGAAGAAAATACGTTGAACGTTCAGTTCAGTATTCATACCAATGTGCAGGACCAAAACTAGTACTGGTACCTGTTACTCTGCAAGGATTGAGTCGTCGGGTATGGTTGCATCGGAAGGACGAAGAACCAGTCCCCCCCCCCCGACCTGATCACCCAGCGCGTCACACGCCCAACCAACGCCTACGCATGTCCAAAAACATGAGAAAAACGTGGCGGTAACTTCCCAGAGAGAATGCTATCCCAACCAAGAAGGTAAAAACAACGTAGGAAGAACCGCACGCAGAAAAATACTTCCACCACCATTTGTGATATTTGTTCCCTGCAAACAGACCTTCGGCCGCAACATTTCGTTCCCTCTCCCAGAAACACACCTAAAGCCTATGGAATTTCCTGCCATTGGCCGATAAATCAATATCACTTAGCAAGGTGAAACGGCAGTAGAAACACGTCAATAGGACAAAAACAAACCAAACAATGCCTGCAAACGCGCGCAACGAGAGGAAAACAAATTGCTTCGCAGACACACAAACAAAGGGGGGGGAAGTACAGCAGTGATATTGGATCTGAAGGCAGACAAGACATGGAAAACCGACAGCACAATTCAAATTAAAGCGAAACGAAAGACGAAAGAACAGCAGATTACACACGCACTCAAACACCACGCCCGTCTCCGATGGCCACCGTCGTCGTCGAGGTTAAACACTACCTACCGCTCGCTGTGCTGTCCCGCCCCCATTGGCCGCGTCCTAACTTCGCTGTACAGATCGTGTACGCCGAGCCACCAAAACCAACACAGCCCAGACACCGACACCCAGTCACCAACACCAGGCCCATGTAATCGCGTTTGGGTGCAATAGCTTCGTCAGGGGCCGAAAGAGAGAAACAGGGTTGACTCAAGAAAAATATTGCATGAACTAGAGATTGGTATACATGCGGGAGGCAAGACGATCCCCACGCGGCATGTCCATTATACCCATACCATGCACGTAGCCCCCGGAGGCCCCGTAGATCAGAGTTCTGCCGAGCACCCCCGAACTGGGCACGCAGGTGCACAAATCACCCCCCATATTTTATGGTGTTCCTTTCATATAATGAAATGCGATTGTAAAACAACAGAGGTAACCAAGGTTGAACGAAAAAACATATCTTCGACACCTAGGCACCCAACTTCTTATTGTAGAGAATTTGTTTGGGTAGGGTATGAGACGACCCCCCCAAACGCCATATGAAACCCTATACAAACGATACGATACTATTTTCTATATCAAAAAGGGGTAATCGCATTTCCGCCCGCCGCCTTTTCCTTTCGTGGGCGCACTCTCTTCCGTTCTTCACGAACCACATCACTACATAGCGTACCTCGGATAATCAACTTTACGCAACATTCTTGTAGATGTTGTACCATCGCCCATGATATCTGCTAGGTTAAAAGGTCAGGGGGTTCCCTCCCGAACCAACGCGAACGTCCGATGCACGTCACCAGCCGTACGAAGGCCAAGGTGGCTGCCGAAAAAGCGATGGAAGCCGGAAGACGGGATGGTGGGTCTAAACTGTAGTGTCGGCATCCACTTGCACCAACGCAGTAAGTAGTACTTGTCGAAAAAGTGGCCCTCTATCCGCTTGCTGATTAATTCATCTCACCGAAGCACTCTCAATTTTGCAATTGACATATACCGCAAGTAGGTCTAGAAAAAAGTTTCAACACACTTGGCTCGGGTTTCCCGACGAAAAGGCGCACACAGCAACAATACCCCGCAGATACGTGCGATACTTACGACCATCCATCGTCCCGGCGCACTTGCCTCTCACACGTCTAGCCGGCCGGTATACTTGCTGGGGCGCAGTTTATGCGAAACCAAAATCGGTTTTCCCGACTCTATAAACACGCATGCTTTCAGTGCGACTGGACAAGGCAGCGACTTCTTGCCAAGACGTCGACAGACATAATATCACTTCCAAAGGGGCAGGAAAAAAAAAGAACGTCCCCCTCTCCCCTTCCGGTTCGATTCTAGATCACCCCTTCAAATACACTCCTTTTTCTCGTTTTGACGAGCTGCCTGCGGGCGGCGTCAAGCAGCTGATTGAGCAAGAAAAACGTCGGTACCCGAAACCCCCCCCTACGCCCCGATACCTCCGCAGAACGCGACCTGCATCATCACGATCCACCGGCGCCACCAAGCGATCTCGCCAAGACGAAAACGTCTTCGGCCTCGGCGATGACGCCGTCGGAGCTCCCATCGAGGGGTTTCGAGGCCATGACGAGGCGTTTCCCGAGGGCGAGGGCGTGGGACTCGCACCGCGCGCGGGCGGCTCTGTCCTTGATGCCGTCGAGGTCCTCGACGTGGGAGATGCCCACAACGCGTCGAATCATCTTCATCCCCGCGAAGCCGAGCGTGTCCTGGGTCCGGGGGGTTCGGCGGGAGGAGGCCAGAGGGGCGAGAGGGGAAAGCGTGCGAGCGGCTTCGAGACGGGTGTTCGGAGGTTACCATCTTCGAGCGGCAGCATGTCGAGTGCACTGAGGGCGATGCTCCTCGCCGCTCAAAGTCAAGGTCTACGGTCCGAGGGGACGAAGAATACCAGCGCTCGGCGTGGCATGCCTTCAACTTCTTACAACGAGAAGCAGCAGCTAAAAGGAAATACTTCGGCCGGCTCCAGGCGTCTCCACGTCGGGGGAAGGGTAGACGGAATGGTCGGATTTATAATGTGGCCGTGATCACATGCCACCGTAGCCTGACCTGCTACAACCAGGAAATGGCTTTGGTCCTTTTCAGGCCTCTCCTGATAACCCAGAGATACATGGAGGTTCGGGCTCTGGAAGAGTATTGGCAGTGGTGTTTTCGCTTGCCATGGCTGCGAGTAGCAAAACTCGAGATTCTGGGCTCCTCCTTGCCGGTTGTTGGCATCGGTCGGATTGTCATCATGTAGGGCCAAGCCAAGAAGCGCATTTCTTGCGTCTACATCTATCTTCGACAAGCTGGGAAAGATGTTGCCGTCTCGTCGTTGTCTTTTGTCTCTTTCTGCTCCTCAGCCGGACAATACCCCCCCGACAGTCTTACATCTACTCAAAAGTAGTTGAAAATGCTGAAAACGACTCCTCAAGAGCGGGTGTTGTCACCTGCCACAGCATCTGCATGTACTGCGCTTGGGCATCCTCGAGGCCCTTTGTGTCTGGGTACATGGCCCGCAGGTACGCCTGTCCCTTGTGCAACTCCTCGTCGATCCACAGCTCCAGGAATGCCCCCTTGAAGCTCGTCCATACCGTCGACACCTGTCGAATCCAACAGAAACATAACCCAAACAATGGCGCATTTCGATTTTCGGGGGAAACAAGGCCCCAAAACCCTCGGCACAAAACGACAAGCCTCTTAAAAAATATTTTATTCGATTACCGGAAGTGGAACTCACCGACCCCACACTTGTTCGAAACGGGGGGACTTGGGGGGTGGGTGACCGTCACAGCTCCTGTCCAGGACCAATACAAGCCCGACGTGGCATCGGCTACCCGAAGCGTCATTTGACAGCACCGTGCCGTTCCTCGCAACTGAAAAGATTTCAGTGCAGTCGAGAGGCAGAAACATTCCAGCTTCCCTTCCGTGCCTGTCGCACGGGACTCGCGGTATGTCATGCCGCCCAAATTGCTTCCGGTATGACTCACCTGCTCGAGCAGCCACTCTGCGTAGTCCTCCCCCTGCCCATTACCGGGCACCGCGCAGTAGGCCAGGAGGATGTTCGCGATAAGGGCGCCCAGGTCGAAGCCCATCGGCCCGTAGAACGCGAACTCGGGATCGATCACCTGTCGCCGACAACAAGAAACGGATGCGTGCGACGAACCATTTAGCTTGTTCATGCCCTGGGCACAAGACTGGTCAAGACTTGTCTACATCCCACTGAGCGTCTCACAGCCAGGCCAAGACTTCTCTACTTCTCACTCCTTCCTCTTGCGAGACATCCTGCCGAAACCCAAGCCATGGCCCTTACCGGCAGCGAGAAACAAGGAGAGGGGATGTCGTGCGCTGTCGTCCCATCTATTTCTGGGACACTACATGCTGCCGTACTTGTGGAACTCAAAGCACTGCATGAACCCTAAATCCGGGCCACTGACAATGGTAGCGAACGTCGTTTGCAAGACTCAATGCCCATGCATGCGACCATCTTGGCTACGCGTTCGTCTAAGGTCAAACCTGTGTTGATCCTTCCATGGCCATCACGGAACCCGTGTGCAGATCCGCGTGAATAAGGGCCTGTGCCATTTTCACACCCGATCAATTCCACATAGATCAGGACCGGTCCATATTCCATGTCCATTCCGACAACACCCGTCAGGACCAAACAGTGTTGCGGTAAGGCGTGGGCGTGTCAGACGCGAAACAGATAAGGCTCGGTCAGCGAAACTCTGGGCGCGGAAACGAAGAAGCGAAGTTTTCTCCAAAAAACGGAAAGTTCTTGCACACGGGATGTGTACATACCCGCCAAAGCTTTTGAGACGTGTGGCACCTACCACACCCCCGCAACCTGCCGTGATCGTCCCCTAGGTCGCCTCGGGTACGGTATGCTCCGAGTAGCCGACAATCGACTAAACCAATCCACCGTGGGCTATGGGATGTACAAGGGAAAACAAAATTTCGGTGTACAGGCAGTAGTGGTCCCTATACAAAGCCGGAAAGTGCCGAGACCTTTGGCCGGCGGACTAATGCCAAACACCCGAAACGACTGAGAGTAGCATGAATCAATTTCCATAGGCGTCGCGCGAGTTCACCGGCCAAACAAAGGGTAACCGGCGGACTTATCCATGCGGCCAAATACAGGGTAACCTGCGGACATATTCACCCCCCCAAATACAGGGTAACCTGCGGCCATATTCATGCGGACTTATGTACAAGGACCCATCACTGCTGTATATCTCGGGGGACTTACCTCGCAGCTGGTCATGAACTTCTGTTTGAGCCTGGAAGCGTTAAGCCGCAGGGGGACGTCCGTCCTAAGGGCTGCGGCAGCCTCGTCGAGCTCCGGGCTGGTCCAGCGGTTCATGTCGGACTCCATGTAAGGGTCGGAGAAAACAACCTTTCCAATAAAGTCAGCGGTGGTGGCGAACGGATGAACGAACGGAGGTTGATATGACAAAACCCATAATTCCGTAAAGAGAGCCACGGTTCATGTCGCAACTCCATGGAAAGGGTGGAGAAAACCACTTTTCGATACAGTCAGCCGTGGTCGCGAACAGATGGAAAGAGTGAGGTTGCCTTACAAAACCCAACTTTCGATAAAGTCAGCGGTGGGGGCGAACGGATGCAGAAGGGAGGTTGGTAAAACAGTGCCCAACTTTCGATAATGTCAGCGTGGTGGCGAACAGATGACAAATGGGAGGTTGCTTACAAACCCCACTTTTTTGACAACGTCAGATGGTGGAGAACGGACGAAAAAAGGGAGGTTGCCTTACGAAACCCACCTCTCGATAGATTCCTTCAATTGGTCAGCCGGTTACAGTAGCGCGGTCGATGCAATGATATAATCACAAAACACACACAAACACCAACGGACTAATGGGCAACCACATTCCACCGCACCCAATAGGTTGGGACATCAGAGATAGCGCGGGCGGAAGGAGGATGTTGGCAATGAGGGGAATTCGTGGTGAAGTGACGAAGGAGGAGGAAAGGGAAAGGGAACAAAAGAGAAGGATGGAAACGATGATGGAGCAAGAGCTTTGAGCCAGAAGACCTGCCGCACAACAAACGGCGTGTTCCTGTCAAGGCAGAATGTTACAACACACGACATAGCGGAGGGTTTCTCCCCCGACAGCCGTGGACCCGTCGATAGAAGAAGACTACTGGGGAGAGGTCTTGTGATATTTGCACCTTTACAGTGTTCTTGTGCACTAGGGGGGTGGGGGTGGGCAGGCGGTCAGGAACAGCTGGCATCACTGATAAAAGCTCAATGTATAGGCGCTGTGAATAGACCCTAAATAAGCCCAGCACCCAGCCGGTGTTCTTCCCATTCACTGTGAAGACTTCAACCCGTCCCCTTCGGCTAGAACTGTGGAATCGTCCCCTTCGGCTAGAACTGTGGAATTATCTCGAATGGGTAGTCTCTCTCTGATTGAATGCACATTTTTCAAAACACCGCAGGAATAGAGAGGAGTGTCCAAAACATAGTGGTAACATTGGCGACAAGAGCGGTGGTGAATGCAAGGGAGGATGATGAAAGCACCCCGAAACGAATGCGCGAGCCTTGGTAAACACGTCCAGTCTGTCAACAATCCGGACAGTAGCTTAGCCTCCCCCATGACGCCCCCTCACGGGGTCCCAGACCATGGCCTTTGGAATAATTTTCTTTCGACCGCACTGAGACTGGCGTATTTGCATTGGCCAGCTGGTTAGCGCGGTCGACGCCAAAAATAAGAACACAAAGGCGAGCCAGAACGATTGACGTCCGTTCAATTTTCAGTCGGTTAGCGGGGTCGATGCTAAACAAAAGAGCCACACTCAAACACTACAACCATTGCCCAGCTGCGATCGGAGCCGACAAACATTTGGAAAAAGGGTCCGTAAAACCATCGCCCCCTCTATCCCTTGACCACAAGGCCTCCATCGATTCACACACAAGAGACCCTTGGCCAACAAGTCGTACGGAAAACCACAACAAACCCCACGGGCTACCACGGCCCTCCCCACCTGCTCTGTGAGCTCGCACATTGGCCAGTTGCTGGCCCAGCGACCAATCTCTTCCTTCATCTGGGACCCCGTGAGGTGCAACGCGGAGCTGAAGAACAGCGTTCTCGCGAGGTACGTGCCCATGTCCGCCGCGAGGGTGCTGTACCGGAGGCCTTGGATGAGCCCGAGCCGCAGGATGATGTGCGGCGGCTCTACGAAGCA